GAGCGTTTTTTAAAGCGGTTTTTGCCGTAGGTAGGTGGGTAGCTGGTTCCACATAGTGGTGGTGCACTATGTGGAACCAGCTACCCACTGAAGTATTTCCGAACCAGTTTGACTTAGGGTCCTTCAAGAAAAGAGCGAGACCAATTCTTAAAATTCTGCAACGAACGAGCCCTCTGGCATTGAGAGTGTCCATGGGCGGCGGTATCACTTAACATCAGTCTCCTGCCCGTTTGCCCCCTGTTCTATATAAAATATAGCATCAGTACGTTGATCTCACCTCATATCTTGTTTCAATTGAGAATATCTCTGTTCTTAGAGGTTTGAGATGTTGCAAATACGCTGATACATTTTGTTTCTCCACAAAGCGCTCTAACGTATTGGTCAACGTTTCACTAAACAGAATGGCTAGAATGTGCATTCTTCTACAGATCCCGAATCTTGATATTTTTGGGATTGCCCATCCGATTACAGGAAGGGCACTGTTATCATTCTCTTAGTACTATACTTTATAATTAAGGATCTATTTTTGTGATTCTCTTGTAATATTTCATTATTTTTTTTAAACTTATTATAATAATAAATAAACAATAAATCGTTTATTTGCAGAGAAAGTGGTACATTCGGAATGATTTATTATTAAATCGCACTATCAGGTATATAAAAATAGGCATACAAATGTCATTAATGGTCAAAGTGTCATAATAATGACAGTTATTTATAATTGTTGTCAAAACTTATGGTCTAAAAACTCTATAAAGGTACCTTACCTTTAAATTTTATTAATATAAATATAAGTATTATATTTGCACGCCGTCCACATTTCTTATCGAGGCCACACATTGCATTATAATTTGTATGACTTGTTTTTTTCCTTTATTTTTTTTTTATATTTAACCTTACCTGGTTTGTACGACTATAAGTAAATAAAGACAATGACGCCTAAGTAACCGGTGACCCCGGAGCTGGTGCTTTTCTCAACGAATAAGCATCTCAATACAGCGCGGAATTGCTGCCAGCGTTAACGGTACACTGCCACAGGGATCTAACTTTTTAATTATTCTATTTATTAATTTTTAATTATTATAATTATTACTATGTAGGTCAAAAGTCAAAAATCTTTTATTCATATAGGTAACACAATGTACACTTATGAACGTCAAAAAATAAATCGTCATAGTCGTAGAATAGTGACGGATCTGATAAATAGTCAACTTTACAGGGCAGCCATTTCAAAATAATATAATCATGTTAGTTTTTGTCATAACTATTTTAATTCATATTCTGTTATTATGAATATTGGCATACCAGCAAACAATATAAAAATAATTACATTAAATTTCACAATTTTCAAGAAAAATCACGTATCTATCAAATCCGTCATTTTACAAATTTCAATTAAATTTAAAACACATGGATTTTTTTAATGTAGCCGTAATATTTAGTCAATGTAGTATCCAAATATGATAAAAAGCGGATTTTGGTTTTTTTTCAAATCCGACATTGTTCTACGATCATGACGAAATATACATACAATGCTTCTAATTTTACATTTACTGCCGGTTCTCAAGGGCGTAGAACAGAAGAGAAGAACTGGCAATAAACTCTCCGCTACTCTTTCATTCTTTTTAATCGCCAAGTAGTGTTTTACTGTATAATTTATTGTTATGTTTAGGTTTTAATAAACGCAATTATACGTCTAATAAAGACAATTTAAGGATTGTATAAACATGATAGTTTGAAGGTGCTGCTGTTATCGCTATGATCAAAGGCACTCGATGAACATATTCAAAACATTATTTGTGCTCCCGATACAGGAAAATATATGCTGGACATAAGTGTACAAGTGTGAGTTATATCCAGGCCCAAAACACTTCTAGGAACACGTCCAAATTATGTCGCAGCCTCGGTCTCTTTTCTTCCATATCGATCTACAAGAGAAGAAGATCTAAAGCTATGATGTGACCTTGGAATCGCGAAATACTAAAGTTACCTGTGGATATCGGCGCTGGGTCAAAGTTTCCTCAGCCATTCCTGGTTCCCACGCTCCCGTGGCTAGCATAGAATTTTTATTTTTTGTGGCTTTTATGTTTTTGGGGATGGTTCTAATCAGGCTGAGCAATCAAGATCTACAGATTTGCAGTCGAAAAAACCCACAAACTATAAAAGTCTGTTAATACCCACTAACAAAACGTATTCGTAACAATGTCAATTCATTCATTCGACATTCGTCCAATTCGTGATGCGTCCTCAAAGGTCACCGTGACCGCCTGGATCACTCCGTCACAACATCACCCATGACCCCAAGATCCATCCATAAAAAGATCTCGCTGTCAATAACAAATTTAATTGTAATGCGACATATCTCTTATCACTTATTCGCAACGGTCAAGTGAGTCACCTACATTCAACGCATTGTTTGCCGAGTTGTTTGTTCGGTGATGTGATCATTGTGGATCAGTTACTTATTCAAGACAACAAAGGCAAGTTCCACGATGACACGAAAACAGGCCGATAAATACGCATCTATACATATAAAAATGCTATGTTGGTTTGTGTACGTTTCTCCTTCCCGACAAAAAAGGCTCGTAGGAGGCCCCGACACACACTAACGGATTCGGATGATCCAATTACCATAGCAAACAATAAGTCTCACAGGAGACGCCCTTGCGCTAGTCGCGGGAAAAACGCCCATTCTGGCTGAGCTTCGCTCGCCAAAACAGCCCGAGCTGAGCTGTAAAGGCCCTTAAGGCCAACAGCGAGATTCCATTCAAAAAAAAAAAAAAAAGTGTACGTATCAAAAACGCAAAAAGTTCTGCACCGATCGAGCTGATATTTTGGCATGATATATAATCGGCATCAAGGATTGTTTTATTTATTTTTTTGGAGTTTACTCCTTAAGAAACGAGTTATAAGGCCCGGTACGGAAATTTTATGAGGAGTAAAATGAAGTGTAACACGAAAAGTTGAGGCGTTATATAGAAAGAGACAAATGGATTGAACGTGTAAAAGAATGGGAGATGGAACACATTACACAGACTTTTCTATTTTGAATTCACGTTTTGACAGCCACGTTACAACATTGTCAGTGTTGACAGGTGTAAAAAATAAAAGTAGATTGTCTAGCGTGCCATAGAGTTTTGTCAATAGTAATGGTCAGTGAAATTAAAACTAAAAAGATTGTTCATTCTTATTTTTCTCTTACTATAAAGGTAACTTTGGTCACAGAAAGAAAATCCTATTTGGGCATAGATGATGTAGGTACGTTTTATTAGTACTACAAACATTTATATTATAAAAACATATATTCTTACCACCTTTAGTATGAAAATATGGTCGACAGCCACAGAACATTATCGCCATTTTATCGTTCGTAAGGAGTAAACTCCAATCGTGCGTCGTAGCTGACACACACACAGTTTTTTTATTTTCTCATGTTTTTCCACAAGTATTGCAAAATTAAACTTATATGAAATGTTTTCTTTGTTTTGTTTCTCATTTCTCAACCATTCAATCACAATGTGCCACAGCGAAGCGTGGAAGGGAACAGCTTAGTTGTCTAAAAATATAAAATGTATAATAGTTTTTGTAATCAATCTCTTTCGAAGATGTTTTATCATACCCTTAAGAGGCTTATCCCAAAAATTTTTTTGGACAAAAACAATTTTTTTTATAATTTGGCCTTAAAATACATATAATAGAAATAATTTATACAAAAAAACGTTTGCCGGGTCAGTTTTTTTTTTTTTCCGTGGGGAAATGCGTTACGCATACCCTCCCGCGGCATGGTTGACCTGGGGAAGGGTGATGTGGGACTCGCTGTTGTGCATACCCACTAAAACCCCACGGCGCCACCAGCAATCGCCCGGGGCAGGACTCGGTAACAGCGTAGCCTTGTCCGCATCCAGCCACGCGATCAACCGTTAATATTACGGTCCTCTACGGCCACGAATGATGTGGAATGGACCTTGGCACAGCAAGGGCCTTTCACATCGGCCAATTCATCCTGTTTTATAGAGCTGGGGGAGGCCGGGTACAATGCTAGCATATATATTATTATGTCTTCAGTTGTCTTTTATTGCGTATTTTGTGCTTAAGCAACACTAATATCTGATATGCTGAAGCAATGAAGAAACTAGTAACATGATTTTAGCATATTGCTTTTCCTATGTTTGAAATCCCGTAATTCTCAATATACGTGTGTAAGCCATTGGGGTAGGGCTTCATATCTTTTTATATGCAAGTAGTTTTGACATAAGCCGATTAAATCTAAGAATAAGATTCACAGTCTAGACTTATTAACATATATAATAAATATTTTGCAACATATTCTTGCAAATATATTATTATTATTATAAGTGCGAACAATATCCAACACATTTCGACGTTTGACAGTCAGACTTAGCGTTATATTTTGTTTCTGAATCTGAACCTTAGACATGACGTTTCATACAATGTTTGATTGTGTACATAACGTCAAGTATTTGCCTACAAGAGTAAATTACTTCCTTCACATATTTCAGTTACGACTTTTTTTGGAATTTCATTTTAAAACAGTAAAATCAAGTGTGTTTTTATTGATTTATTCATTAATTAGCTATAAATCCTCAGTTGGCGATTTCAATTGTTAATTAGTCGATCTTTCCCTGATATAATCTAATTTATTACGTGATTTCATAAAAATGCTATCCTTAAAGTTTATAATTAAACGTCGTGATTTAAGGCAATAATATTATAATTAGTATCATAATAACTCTGAGTTCAGACGCAAGTTGTATCCAAAAATTTATTTTTGTTTAATTTGGACAAAAGTTGCTTGAATATTTTGATCTTTTTAAACCATTTTAATGTAGCCATTGTAATTTACGTAATTAAGCAAAGATAAATTGTTTTTTAAACAGTCTTGGTCCGAGGGGTAAAGTTCCCCCTCGTTCTAACGGTCTTAGACAGCTGTTTGGATGAGATGGCGTTTGAAATTTATAAAAAAAAGTTTTTATTTACAGATGCATCTGAAGCTCTTTTGTACGTTCGTGTGCGTTGGCCTCGCACACTCGTTACGTGTTGGTGCGGGTATTGCTGACGTCACGGGCCCACCTGCAGAAATTGGTTTTGTATGATTGATTTTTATTATCGTCATGTTATCCGAATAAGAGTTTTATATTACTGTTAATTAATATTAATTATATATTCGAATCACGCAACCTCTCAGCATTTGGGTACTTACGAATTTTTCCTGCAAATTTCTTTGTTTGAATTCTAACCTCAAATCCGTCCGTCTTTCCACAACTAAGCGTTATTTGAGGCCGCGCACCACTACTACCTGGAACCAGCTGCCCACTGTAGTATTTCCAAACCAATTCAAATCCGAGTCCTTCAAAAAGAGACCACCAACTCTTTAAAAGCCGGATCTGATGAGCAACATTCCCGTTTGCTCCCTTTTATATACAAAAAACCGTATAGTCTGTTTCACGAGGCTGTTTCAGCGCAAAGGAATCAGTCACCCACGTAGTCCTGGAATGCGAGGCTGTGGCTAACCAACATGCAGAAATCCTCAGTGCAGTGAGGTCGCTCCGTGAAGCCTGCTAAGTGCCCAGGAGTCTTCTGTGCTTTTGGAAGGAGCTGGGCTGGCTTAGTTAGCCTGGAATTTACGCACAACGGACCCATTAAGAGTCTAAGTGCGGAAACTGAGTCCACAAACCAATAACCAATGGTTCTGTTTCACCCAGAACCTCCGTTTTGTATGCCACACAGTGTATTAGGTGAAGAATATGCTAAACCACGAACATAGTCTCATGCCCTTCTGCCATTCCTACATTTCAGATGGGTTACGCGCACTTCGAGCAGGTCGGGCATGGACTACATTTACGTCAGTTCTCGCGAGCGTTTGTGCTGGAGGATGAAGAGAACCATCGCTTCGTGTTCGTCTCCGTGGATGCAGCTATGATGGGACATGGTGTACGACGAGAGGTTGGTTTAAATAATATAATATTGAAAAAGATATATTGTAAATTGTCGTACAATATCTTTTCGTCGCTGTAGAATGATAACCTCGTATGTCAAAAAAACATTTATTTTTCATTCTTAGACTCTTGTGTAATTTAACTGGTGAACTAATGAAGTAAGGACTTATTTATATTATTAATAAGTCCTTTTTACCGTCCAAAACTATGGACAAAAGCACAAACCTAATAATATTTTAACGAACATTGACGAAATGAAACATTTTTTTCGTTTCCTGTAATTTTTGGTTCTCGGACATACAAGGTTATCATTCTACAGCGACGTTTTTCCGTTGCGTTATTATAGATTTTAGTAGCGGTATCATTTTCTGTCAAGACGCCAAGTCTTTTAAGCAAAGTCCCTTTATAGGATAGGGGAGATGTTACACTCCCCTCCTGCCTAATTCGGCCCGAGATCTGCCTAGTCGCGTACCTGTTAGGCTACTATGCAGGGAGTTTATAAATAAGTAACAAAAAACATATGACCCGTTCATACATCTATTAAATATCGTTAAGAGTATGATTTTTATTTTTGTTTGTATTATCACTGTTTTTTGTACTTGATTTCGCTGGACGTGTCCGCATGTTGTTGACGGCACCGCTTTTGTGGCCTAAAGAAAAAAATTGAAAATTCAGTGTCAACTGAGGTTGGAACTTGGACACGCTAAACACTTTTTGGTGAATTTATGTCGTGACAGCATGTTTAAGATTAGATTTTATCGAAACTAAATTTGATTTTATTCATTTTTTTACTAGCCTCAGCAAACAAATACATAATTGTGTATAGTTTTATAATATTTTAAGTTGAAATTTGGCCATACATAAATAAATAAATCCTGTTACAACATTTTTCAGTTTCACTCATATTAGAATAGGAAATAGATACTATACTATTTAGAACAAAACAACTAGATTAAGCGTAGGTATAACAAACAGAATAACAAGCTTCTTTAGAAAAAAATTCTATAAAAATACTTTGTTGATATCCAGGTGTTGAAACGCCTGCAAAAGCGTTACGGTAACGTGTACAGTGAGAAGAATGTGATCATAAGCGGGACTCACACGCACTCCACTCCAGGTGGCTTCCTTCTGGATTTCCTCTTCGATTTGTCTATCCTTGGCTTCGTGAAAGAGACATATGCCGCCTATATAACTGGTATACTCAAGGTAAATATAGCGATGTACATGTTCTCAGTCAACACTCAACATAGGCCATTGCATATTTACGAATCAAAATTTTAACGGTACTTACAAGTCGTTGGTTTGAACACCCGTGCCTTGAATGTACGGTAACCTGACGGACCATCGTTGTTTGACAGTTATTAGATATATAAATAACTCCTGCATAAATGACCAGTTTTAGATAACTTTTTGCAAGGTAAACAATTCAATTCTGACGGGGCAGTCGAAACCGCCTTCGAAGACTTTATTGATTCCTGTCCGAATGGGTTTTTTAGTTATTGGATCAATCAACTACATATAAGATGGCAAAAGTGCATATATAGCAATGGTTCATGTATACTTTGATTAATATATGAAAATTTGAAAATATATTCTATTTAAAAAAATCTATTTCTTTTCCTCCCATAATAACGCCAATTTCATATGTAAAGACCTAATATTAAATTCTTTTACGGACTGTCAATGGAAAATATAATAACAATTTCACTGTTCTAATTATTTATTTGGATGTTTCAGAGTATAATAATAGCACACAATAAATTGACATCAGCTAGAATGGAATACGGTGAGGCGGAACTGCTGGATGCCAACATCAATCGCTCACCTTCATCATACCTTCGAAATCCACCCGAAGAAAGGGCAAAGTAAGCTTTTTTACATAATTTAATTATTTAATTACTGTAGACGTAATCACCAAATAAGAAAATCAAAGAACTAGGTATAGTGCTTAAGTAATACTTGAACGGCCCCTAAACTCCTTTGCAAAAAAACGGACACTTAAGGAAATTCACGTTCTAAGGTCGATTTCAGTTAATAAAATGAAATTTAATTGTCGTACATAGTCTGTTCACTTATAATCGAGCAGATTAATACGCGTGAAGTGAGTTCTGACAATTCTTTTAGCCAGAAGTGATGACTTCCAATTGAGAATGTCTGAGATGTTTTAAAGAGGCCACTAATATCAGTGCCATCTGCCCCACAAAACATCAGGGAGCTAAAATGAGACATTGGGAAAAACAGTGGGAATTTACTTCTCAAAACGTTATTAAAAACATCGTGAAAAGTATTCCCAGAAGGATAGGCTGCGATTTTGTCACACTCGTAACTTTATTTAATTAAGCAAAAGTAAAAAAAAAAGACGTCTTGCACTCCGGGAGTGCCGGCAGAAGTGAAAACTTGAATATTAGCGTTGTGCATTTTTGATATTTTGGAATGGTTAGGGAATAATTTTGCACGAATTGCTTTAATTATCAGTATAAAAGTACTATCATTTATGTGGTAAAATACAATATTAATTTATTGCGCTATCGTACACAAACATGACAATTTATATTACATTAAATACGCCGCGCCAGCTGTCTACTCTCCATCCGTCTTACGAATTTTCGATCAGGTCACGTGTCCTGATGCGAGTTTAACATATTTTTACCCATTCCAAAAAAAGTGTACAACGCAGCTAAAGAAGTTTTCACTTCAAAAATTATATTATTACATTTTGTACTTACCTATAAAGACTACCTGATCAATGAATCAGACACAGAAATGTGTGCATCTGGTTTAAGTTCTCCCATAATAATCTTCAGGTACGATTACGACGTGGATAAAAGGTTAGCTCAGATCCGCTTCCTCACACCGAGTAATGATATCCTCGGGGTGATTAACTGGTTCGCAGTTCACCCCACAAGCATGAATAACACCAACAAGCTGATATCATCAGATAATGTCGGATATGCGTCGATCCTTATGGAGAAAGCTCTGAACGGCAATGAAACTTTGCCAGGCAAGGTATATTTCAATTTTTTTTTATAGAACAACAAGCAAAATTGCTTGTTCCACTAACAACAAAAATGCACTAACACTAGTCCAAATTGTTTCGTCCTTTTCAATCTTCTTACTAGATCCGTGTCAATCAATAATTGAAACGTGTTTTTAAACATTACAGGGTCGTATAGTGTGTGCGTTCGCGTCTACCAATTTGGGCGACGTCTCTCCAAACACCCGAGGCCCTAAATGTGAATTTTCTGGTCTTCCGTGCGATCAGGAGAAGTTGTTGTGTAAGGGGCATAAAGAGAGATGCTTCGCTTCCGGCCCAGGGAGAGATATGTTTGAGAGCACCAAGATTATCGCCACGAAGCTCTTTGACACGGCTATGGTGAGGTTTTCCTATGATTTTTTTAGTATTTGTAGTGGTTGCAGCTCCTTACAAACGTTGTGTAAAACAAAAAACTTGGCGGTTAAAAAAAGTGGCGGAGAGTGTAGTGCCAGTTCTTCTCTTCCGTTCTACATCCTGGATTTGAGAACTGGCAGTAAATGTAAAATAGAAACATTTAATGTATATTCCTTTTTTGACGTTCATAACTGTATATGAATAAATAATTTTGAATTGAATTAGTCGCACCAAAAGATTTTCTATTTATGAGCGATAATTGCGACGATAGTCAATGCAGAAATATGTCTTTTACAGACTTTACGGGGCTTCACACTTGCAAGGCACTTATGTAGATATGTATCCAGAAATTTAGATATTATATATAAATAATGATAAACAAGCTTCCATAAAAGGAATTTTGTATAGGTTTATTACAAAAAAATCCCTTTTTTATTGTAGGGAGTGTAATTTGGCTATTATATACTCTGTGAATTCATTGTCACAAATGAGTAAACTTGGGGTGGCATGAAATGAAATGAAATGAAATGAAATAGTTTATTCTTGCAAGTAGGACTATATAAATCACTTTTACAATGTCATCCTAAACTAACTCAAACTCAAACTCAAAATATCGATCTGAGCAAGCCTGTGCCAGCAGACGGCAAGCATGCCCCGAATAGCTCATGCAGCTCAACCATTTTTGAGGGAGCTGCACAACCCGGTACACAGCAATACCGCCAGTGGCACCATAAAAATATGTGGGGCAACAACTCACTCAGATCGCCAGCCCAAAATAACTATATACTAAAATGTATCAAATTATAAATCAAGCAAAAGAGTTTATGATATACCCGCATAATGTTTACACTTACAATGGATACAAAATGTATTTTTAAGGTGTACCTTAAAGCAAGGAAAAAATAATGAAATTAAATCATCAGAATTCTACCAAGAGTATTTGTGACTAGTTGCTGCAATTCTCCCATATGCTGTATTTCTTGCGCCTAACCTGTGATTCGAATAAAAAAAATAATCACTTGTAAAACTAAATAATGTAAATTATTATTAAACGATTCCAGTGCTAGGAAACGATGTGAAAAATTAATCCCGGTTGAGTTTGTCACCATTTTTATTTATTTGTGACATTCCTAAGAGATCATGTTATCCCATATTAATTCCAGAAAGTTCTCCGTCAACCCGGCGAAGACTTAACTGGACCGATAGGTGTGGTTCATCAATTCGTGGATATGCCCAAGCAAGTCGTATCTCCCTATGATCCGATTGCACAGACTTTTAATGCGGTAAGTTTTATAAATTAATTTTTGAAGTTGTATTGTCTTGGCGCGTTAGGGAAAACTAATGAGAGTACATTTTTACGATGCGCGCGCACATCGTCACGAAATTTCGACACCCTGAAGTTAACTATAGTCAACATTTTATTTTGTGATATTTAAATAAACTTGATTTAACTAGATAATGCGTTATAATAAAACTTTAAATGTATTAAATACCTTTTTGAAGTTATACTTCTTTAGGCGCGTTATGAAAAATTTATGAGAGTGAAATTTTACAATGCGCGCGCACCCGTGACACAAAATTAGGAGTGTGATTATAGCGTGCGCGAGCGAGATAGGAATAAGACAATCTACAAGTAAAAAGAAATAGAATATGCGTGAAGTTCGTATGCCAACAATTTTGAATGACCATAATGACATTTGTCATTTACCTTTTAAACAAATAAAGGAGTTTTAATTATTTTTTCAAAGAAATTTAGCGATGCTTTTTGAATTATAATCAGAAGTGATTTAAATTGAATATTTAAACCAATACTAATTAATATTTGTGAAAAAACTGTGCTCATCAACCTTCCTAAGTGCTTCAATACAATTGAGGTTAACTATCCGTATGTATTATTAATATCGAGTAATGTTTTGATTAAAAAATTAACCACATTGTTTAATCAAAACATGTAATTTTTCTGATTTAATCTAGCAAATATAAGGAAAAGAGACAAAAAACAATTGATGAATCAGTGTAACTGCACTAAATTGAATACAATAAAAGAGTTTTCATCTTATCGCTGTGAAACATCAAAAACTGGAGGTGGAACAAAGCCAAACTATTTTTAATATTGCCAAAGAAGTATAACTTATTACGCGCGTACATAAGTACATGGACCCTTTTTTTTTCTATTATTAGTGTCGTTTTTTCTACAAACATAGAATACATTTTTTGAAAAGATTTTTATCTTGTTACGTTAAAGAAGTATAACTTCTAACGTGTGTATATAAGTACACACATGTTTTTTATTTTATACACAACGGTTTCTGTTGTGAGAATTTTGTAAATAACCTGCATCTTCAACACACCCCACATACACACACACACACAGCACAGCCGAATAAGATATTACGTATTTGATAATTTTTATTCATTTTTCCTTTCGTAAATATTTGAACTTTTGTATACATTACGTGTTCCATCTTTGGCTATATTTTTTAATATAATTGTTTTTTGTTTTATATAATTTATTATTTACCTGTAGGATTGCGAAATATACTTTTATTTATGTTACTTCTGAACCTGTTTTTTTTAAATTACAGAGTGAAAAGGTATCAGGTTGCATACCCTCTATGGGGTATAGTTTCGCGGCAGGGACCACAGATGGCCCCGGTGCCTTCGATTTCAAGCAAGGAACAACTTCGTCTAACCCCCTTTGGAACGCCGTACGGGACTTCCTCGCTGAGCCCACGCAAGAAGACATTGCCTGTCACGCGCCGAAGCCCATATTATTGGCCACTGGGAGGGTAAGTGCTTATTTGGAATTACGTGATAGATCATACTTTTCTTTCAATTTGGTTAAGTGTTTAAGCACGAGTTATGTATTCTACCATTAGTTTAGTCGCATATTATATACCTATTTTATATAATATGTAACTAAAGTAATAAGTAATGTTTACTAATGATTGCGTCGCAAAAAGTTTCTTTTAACATATATTTGAACATCCCTCCAACTAACTATTCTAAAGTGTATCTTCGATCGTCTTAAGATCATCTCCCTTTTAGATGAAGTTCCCATACGAATGGCAACCTCGCGTTGTATCGTGTACAGTGGCCCGAGTTGGGGGCTTAGTAATCGCGGCCGTGCCTGGTGAGTTCACTACGATGTCTGGTCGGCGCTTGCGCAGCGTGGTCCAAAAGGCGTCAAATGCTAAACGGGTCGTTTTGGCTGGATTATCGAATATCTATTCGGATTATGTTGCTACGCCTGAAGAGTATCAGGTATTCATTTTAAATATTATTTTGTTCTTCATGCAATTACAGTAGATCCTCGATAAGATAAAGTTCAAGGGAAACACAAAATATTTTATGTTATAGAGGTTTTAAGTTATCAAGGTTCTATGTCAGGTAAAGGTTAATATAGAGGTATGTACATGTTTCTATGTACCCTTCCTCCCATTTTTACTTGAATGCATCAGAAGGATGGAAAATTAAATATGTAATCATATTTATTCACATTATGTACTTACATTACATAAAAATAAAACAACAACTAAAGGTTTAGTCTACTTAAAAAAATCTGTGATTTTCTTTTGTTTTAAAAAATTCACTGTTTCTAAATCGATTTGATTTTCAATGACAAATAGAGAGGAGAATACATTAACACATTAACTTATGATGCAAGTAAGTCGTTGTCACAAAGCTAACCGCCGCAAAGCTTTGAAGAATTTAGATAAAGCAAACAATAGGTAATGTATTGTTTACGTTAACAATACATTAGTAAACACGTGCAAGCAATAAATACCGAAACCATTTGTTTTGACACTCTTATAAAATGACTCATTCACAAACAATTTTATGTTATAGATGTTGTGGAAACATTTCTTTTAGTTACTGAGGGCCTATACAGAGATTATTTATTTACGTTATAGAGGTTGCGTATTTTAAGTTATAGAGGTTTTGGGCTCTGATGGGAAGGGAACATAGTATTTTTTGAAGTAACCGAGGTTTTTATGTTACCGAGGTTTACGTTATCGAGGTTCTACTGTAGTATAATAAATGTAAGGAATAATGTTATAGGCTCAAAGGTCGTCTCTTTCTACCGTATGATGTATACAATTGTAGAAAGAGACAGATAGATTCAGGAATAATGTTATAGGCTCAAAGGTTATCTCTTTCTATCGTATGATTTATACAATTGTAGAAAGAGACAGATAGATTCAGGAATAATGTTATAGGCTCAAAGGTCATCTCTTTCTACCGTATGATTTATACAATTGTAGAAAGAGACAGATAGATTCAGGAATAATGTTATAGGCTCAAAGGTCATCTCTTTCTATCGTATGATTTATACAATTGTAGAAAGAGACAGATAGATTCAGGAATAATGTTATAGGCTCAAAGGTCATCTCTTTCTACCGTATGATTTATAAACAGGTAAAAAAGAGACATAGATTCAGGAATAATGTTATAGGCTCAAAGGTAATCTCTTTCTATCGTATGATTTATACAATTGTAGAAAGAGACAGATAGATTCAGGAATAATGTTATAGGCTCAAAGGTCATCTCTTTCTATCGTATGATTTATACAATTGTAGAAAGAGACAGATAGATTCAGGAATAATGTTATAGGCTCAAAGGTCATCTCTTTCTATCGTATGATTTATACAATTGTAGAAAGAGACAGATAGATTCAGGAATAATGTTATAGGCTCAAAGGTAATCTCTTTCTATCGTATGATTTATACAATTGTAGAAAGAGACAGATAGATTCAGGAATAATGTTATAGGCTCAAAGGTCATCTCTTTCTACCGTATGATTTATACAATTGTAGAAAGAGACAGATAGATTTAGGAGTAATGTTATAGAAGATTCTTTAAAAAAATGAAAAAAAAAAAAAATAGTCAGGAATAATGTTATAGGCTCAAAGGTCATCTCTTTCTACCGTATGATTTATAAACAGGTAAAAAAGAGACATAGATTCAGGAATAATGTTATAGGCTCAAAGGTCATCTCTTTCTACCGTATGATTTATAAACAGGTAAAAAAGAGACATAGATTCAGGAATAATGTTATAGGCTCAAAGGTAATCTCTTTCTATCGTATGATTTATACAATTGTAGAAAGAGACAGATAGATTCAGGAATAATGTTATAGGCTCAAAGGTCATCTCTTTCTACCGTATGATTTATAAACAGGTAAAAAAGAGACATAGATTCAGGAATAATGTTATAGGCTCAAAGGTAATCTCTTTCTATCGTATGATTTATACAATTGTAGAAAGAGACAGATAGATTCAGGAATAATGTTATAGGCTCAAAGGTCATCTCTTTCTACCGTATGATTTATAAACAGGTAAAAAAGAGACATAGATTCAGGAATAATGTTATAGGCTCAAAGGTAATCTCTTTCTATCGTATGATTTATACAATTGTAGAAAGAGACAGATAGATTCAGGAATAATGTTATAGGCTCAAAGGTCATCTCTTTCTACCGTATGATTTATAAACAGGTAAAAAAGAGACATAGATTCAGAAATAATGTTATAGGCTCAGAGATACGAAGCTGCGTCGACAATCTTCGGCCCTCACACCCTCGACATTTATCTCAACAAGTATGTTGAACTCACCGACGCACTAATTAAGGTGAGTAAACATATTATTTTCCATTGATACGAAATAAAAATCAGTGACGCTACAACCTTTTTAGGTCTGGGCCTCAGATTTCTGGATCTGTTTCATGATCATTTGTCAATCTAATAGGCAAGTAGCTGATCAGCCTCCGGTGCCTGACACACGCTATCGACTCGGGTCTAAGGCAAGCCGGTTTCCTCACGATGGTTTCCTTCACCGTTCGAGCGAATTTTAATTGCGCACATAGACAGAGAGTCCATTGGCGCACAGCCGGGGATCGAACCTACGACCTCAGCGATGAGAGTCTTAATTTATTCTTAAGATTTTTTTCTTAATGCATGCCTGTATCACTACTTTCCGGTGTTAAATAATAATTCAAAAACTGTTTGTGTACGTGAAATCCTGATAATTTCCGGTAAAATCCGGTTAATTAATGGTGTTATAGAATCTGTTACTTAACACGTTCACTGCGTAACAGGCCGATATCGGCCTGCCGCGGTATTTCAGCTGGTGCGGACGAAGAAATCTATGTCCCTCTCGCTGGTGCGTAACGATTATCTCAGGTGTTTGTAAAAATTCGACAGGGACAAATATATATTTCATCTTGCGGTCAAAATTGTAGGTGTTCCCCATCAAAACATAACGGCAGGCTTTTATCGACCTACCACGCACTGACGCTGCTGTGCATCCACTGAGAGTTAATCTATCCTAGTGCTGTTGGGTCTAGAAAGACCTGCCACGCACTGGCGGAAATATCATTGGGGGCGCATTTTGGCCCGCCGCCGCACCTGATGAAGAATTATGATTTTACTTGCCGCAGTGAACGTGTTAACGTATACGTTCGTATACGTCAACTGGAACTCGGTAGAGTCTAGCCCACACGCAATCCTTTCTTAATATCTTCTTTATATTTTTTCAAGTCAATATGACGTCGTATGAAACACCGTTCTAGCTTTATTTATGAAGTTAGACACATATGACCCCATACATTACAGAATTTCTTAATAACTCAAATCATTTTTTTTTATATTTTGCCTATTACTAACTGTTATCTGTGTTTATATACTTTCACATAATTATAATATCTGTATAGAAATATATATTTTTGAAGTGAAACTTCTTTAGGCGCATGAGGGTAAATTTTTACGGATGAAACGTCACGAAGATGTGCAGCGTTTTTGTCGAAGAAAAGGGAGAGAACGATTGAGACCGATTGAGAGAGAGTGAGAAGGGCGAATTACCTTATAGAAATTCTAATTTTAAAATTAAAATTTCGTAAGAGAATTTATGAAATATTAGTATGTATTTTATATTTTATGCAAAATAATTTATTTAATAATTCAAGGGTACACCAGTGGAAAACGGCCCAGAGCCTCCAGATTTCAGCGAACAGTTGATCACCCTCGTCCCACCGGTGCTGTGGGATGCCGCCCCTTGGGGTCACGAGTTCGGAGATTGTGTGGAACAGCCCCAGCATTCCTACAGCTGGATGGATACCGTTACCACTAAATTTGTAAGAATTCCTCGATTGATTTTACTAGCTGACCCGACGATAGAAGTAACACAATGAACACAAAATAAATATTAAGTTCACTACATTATTAAGAAATTAACGCAAAAATAAATAAGCAATGCTATTCGGGACGGAAACATAGACAACCAATAAAAAAACATGAAATGAAAATCGGTCGAGCCGTTCTCGAGTTATAAGTGTTCGAATAAACCCGACTTTGTTTTATATTAAGTTATGAAATTAATGGACAAATATTGCTCCTAAAGTATGAATCTCTGGTTTTGTAACAGACAAAAATAAACAATAGACTTTTACCACATAATTATAGTATATTTTCTTACAAATTATTTAAAATTACGCAAAATGTAAAATTAACTTAATATAAATATTATCTCAGGTATCAGGTCATCCGCGTAATAGCATTCGTCACGGGCGCTGGTACTCCACGGTCGAGAGGCTGGAGTCGGAGCAGGATGACGCCTGGAGCGTTGTGGCCACCGATGCCGATTGGGAGACCAAGTGAGAAAACCTTTTCTCTATTTTATATGAGCCGCATTCGTGACTAACTTCAGAGCACCCACAAATGATCTTTAATCGAAATGTGCAAATTACAATTTTCTAATATGTGATTGACTCTCTCCTGAAACGGTCAGAAATCACATTTCAGCCTGCTGAAAAGTTCTCTAAGTAGTGGAAATATTGCAGTCGACCCGTTTTCGGAACGATATTATATATTCCATCTTTGGCTAAATTTAGTATTATTGTTTTTTTTTATATAATTTATGTTAGCTGTAGGAATAATTAATTAATAAATAAAATACCAGTGGCGTTACAATCTAGGTCAGGGGACCTCCGAACTTTGCAGCCTTAAGGCCATACTGATTACTCCAGTAAGTTCCGTGGGCCAAAACCATATGTCATTATGCTTGTTATAAGTTATGTTTTTATCACAAAAACAATAACAATAAGCCTACAACAATGTTATGAGTAGTAAGCCCATGACCATATCAATGTAGATGTCATATTATTCAACATAAAATTAGAATACTTCAGTAAACTAAATTTAATTTGCTATAAAAAATATGTTCTCTAAAGGGAGTTTTCAAGTATGCTAGCTCTCCGCGGGCCGGACAAAATCTGTCCGTGGGCCAGATGTGGCCCTCGGGCCGGAGTTTGGAGACCCCTGATTTAGGTGAACTTCAGACTTATGTATCTGTTACGAGACAAATTTTCTCCACACTCAAGTAGACAGCCTTTTGCGCCTGACAAAGCCGTTTTCCTTCATCGTTTTAATAAACCTTTGTTTATAGATTCACATGGATCCGTAACTCAAAAATCCTGGGGACCAGCCACGCTCAGATAGACTGGGAGATCCCCGAAGGGACCCCACGCGGTACATACCGTCTCCACCACTATGGGAGCTATAAATATATATTGGGGGGGTATTTATCCGTATAACGGGTTTTCGAATAGTTTTGAAGTCACATAATTTATAGCAAATATGTTTGGCAATTTTTTAATATAGGTTATTATGGCTATTGTAATAGACTGTTTCACACAAAAATATCGCGTGATACAATTTTGTGTCTTAAAGAAGTAATTTTAGCCAATTACAAAATATACTGTTTTGAGACCGACGTTTTTGTTACCTGCTGGGCTTCTTTATATCTGATGCCGTTACAATAATATGCTGCAGTGCAATTATTAAATAATTTAACAATTATAATTATTTCGATGTACATTTTTTTATTAGTACTGGATTGTACCAAAATTTTAATATATTCGTATAATACTAGAGTAATAATGTTTGCTCAAAATGGTCCAAGGCGTCTGTCTCACGATTTTATATATACGAGATATAACAAAGATTTTTTTCAAATTATTATTTTTATATACAAATGTATTTAAACATAATAATCTAGTCTAAATGTAATTTAAAACCAGCATTTTTATACCGCAGGTTGAAGCAAGATTATTAAGACATATTAAATGTCGTGTTTTTCTAGAGTTCTCTAAGTACATACTTGACATTCAGAAGTCATACTTAGCGCTGTCTAGATATTACCCGTAATGTATCGATACCAAAGTAATTGTAAAATGGTTCAGAATAAAACGCAATTATTTATTACCTATACATGAACTATATCTTATTGTATTGTCTTTGATAATACAAAATTTAAAATAAATGATTAATCGTTAATATTTGTGAGACATATGCGCGTTTTATGTAAGTTTAGTATATTGGACCCTCTTATTTATACAAACTAAATAGAACTCTCTCTTTGAACTATAATACTCTCGTCTCTTTCTGCCAAAGTGTAATTACACTGTGATGATAGGAGACAGTTGAATATTTGAGTTAAAGCGGTGGATGTTTTTTATGAATAAGTGGAGGGGGAATATAATTCCCATCCCCTTGTTCATGCTGTATATAGACGTTTGAGAAGGGAATTTAATTTAAGTGATGGAAATTCAATTGAGGTAATTGTGCCCTCACTGTGCCATTTAAGGGCATTTTTTGGTTAAGAACATCACTTGCCTTGTGTTATATAATATTATTAATACCAGAAATGTATAAAATGAAGAATAATATATTTTTTATTACGAATGTGTTTTTTTTCTCTTGAAATTAACTAAAATAAACATAATAAGCAAGCAGCGCGTTTTTCTACATTTTAATTCACTCAAAAAATTATTGTAATTATAATAAAATATACAAAAATCTCCAAAACAACACTACTTACTAGTTTACTAGATGCAAGCAACGAAATATGATGTCAAGAAAATTGGCATCTAATAGACAAAGGGAGTAAACCCCTTGTTTCTTAGAATAGAGATAAATTCAGAACGAGGCAAGAGGTAATCCAGAATGAGACCAGAGGTAAATCCAGAGTGAGGCGAGAGGTAAATCCAGAGTGAGGCGAGAGGTAAATCCAGAGTGAGACGCGGGACTCCAAAGTACATCACTCGAAAATAGTCTCTCCTGACTCTGACTTTTCCACCTCGAAGATAACGTTTGGAAGTATAAATCAGTAGATTTACATTAAGAGACATAATTTTTAAGTATTGCCTTAAAGAAACAATGTGTTTCGCGCAGTTACAGATATATTTTTTTAATTTGTTTTGCACGTGGATAACTTTTGACAGCCAGTTACGTTTCCATACAATGAACGAACATTGAACATCGATCTCTTGGTGATTAAATTTACAGAGAACTACCTTATGTTCAAAAATTATAAAAAGTGTATTTAAAAAAAAAAAGAAACTGCAACGCATACATAAATACAGTATAATTAAATAAAAAGGAGGGCAACTGGCGGCCTTATACCTTTCGAGCAATCTTTTCCAGGCAATCACTGTGAAAAAAATTAAATTCGTTAAAGTTAGCGTAAGGAGCGGAAAACTGTGAGAGGGACAATAATAAAAAAGGACCCGTAAAAATTAAACATCCCTTTTAATTTTAAAGGGAAAAGGGAAAAATCTTTAAACGGAAAGATTATTCTATTTGCTAAACAGAATACAAAAAATTTTTTTGCGTGTACTAGGTGTACACACGTAAGAAGTGAAACTTCTTTATGATCTTATTTTTCGAAAAATGATCTACTATATGCAACTTTACAGAAATTCGTTAAATTAGATAAAGTTTAACAAAAGGCTTTTATTATCATAGACATGAATACAAATATTTCATTTTACCTTATTACTACGAAGATTATTATAGAATTTCATTAATTGTAATAAAATTATTACTATCATTGAAAAACGTGACGATTTGCTACAAAATTTCTCCCATACGTCGATAAAGAAGTTTCATTCCAACGCCGATAAAGAAGTTTGACTTCAAAAAGCAACATGGCGCGTAACCGAAAAATGTGACGCGTAACGAAAAAATGTTACACTAAATTTTTTTCCAACCTCGATAAAGAAGTTTCACTTCAAAAAATCTGTGGCGCTACAACCTCTTTAGGTCTGGGCCTCAGGGATGAGAGTCGCACGCTGAAGCCATTGGGCCAACACTGCTCAAACAGAATACAAATCAAGATTAAACTTGGATAGAATCGCAGACAGCGAACTCAGCAGATTGCAACAGCGTTACCAACTTTGAGCTGAGCTTGAACGAGTTAAGTACGAGCGCGTATGATAAGGGAGCGTTCAAGTATTACGTAACGAATTTTGGGAGGGGGGATCCTTTTGTAAAACGTTACGATACGTTACATCTGCACTTTTTATCTTCTACATAACTTCCAAATAATCCATTGATAAGATTTTAATATGAAAATAATATGAGGTTATATAATAACAACTAATTATCGGACTTAATTTGTATAAGATTAAACTCAGATACTGTATTGATAACATTTTTAGTAATTAAAATTGCCAATCGATTAAAACACGTGTTCTGCTGTGGATGTTTTAGATTTAATTAAGAAATTGAGGCAATTATTATATATAGTTAATTAGCGGTGAGTATTTTGGATAACTTCTTTGTCACGTTCAATTACCGACGAAATAATGTTAGGGGTGGTAATTAAACATAAGTTAGGACTCGTTTTTTACTTCTTCACTGTACTAATTAATTCCCGTATCACCTCGAAATCCGCTGTTGCACATCTGAGCGTTATTAAAGGCAGTTTATGCCGCGCACCACCACTATGTGGAACCAGCTGCCCACTGAAGTATTTACGAACCAATTCGACTCCTTCAAGAAAAGAGCGTACCAATTCTTAAAAGTCTGGCAAAGTACTCGCGAGCCCTCTAGAATTGAGAGTGTCCATATTACTTAGCATCAGGTGATTCTCCTGCCCGTTGGTTCTATAAACAAAAAAATGTTGATTTATACGTATAAAAGATATTACTTTATTCTCATTTCAAGGGGATAATGAACAGGATACATATGCCAAATATAATCTGCACAATGCACATAGTGTAATGTCATCAAGATTAGGTAAAATACGGCTGATACCGACGTGTATTTCGTTCGTATATATTAAGTTTCTCATGTAAATAAAAATGCATTTTTTGTAATGAGAAATAGAGTTCTTTAAACATTAAAATAGTTAACTTTCTACATTTTATTGTAGAGGTAAAAATGGCGATACCGATCTTTGGTAAAGTGGTGATGTTGGCCATCACGCTCGGTGTGATTGCCGGTTTGACAGCGGTGATTATTTTGGTGGTGAACGATTCTGCGGAGAAGGATGATGTATCCACTACTACATCTACCACAGAACCACCAAGGGACCCAGATACCTTGTACGACGTCGGAGTTGGAATAGCTGATATGACAGGACCATGTGTACAAATTAATTTCGTAAGTTCATACAACGTATCTACGTTTTATTCAGAAAACAGTTAATGCTTTATTTAATTATCTGTCTCTAGGTATAAATGCTAAACCCTAAATGTGTTTAATTAAGTAAGTAACCTAACGTACAACGGTCTCGGTACATATTCGTAACTTAAGTAACAATCCGTCTAGAGCGCTGTCAAATACGTCAAACGTCATACAGAAAAATGTTTTGACAGCTTTTTAAGTCTGATTGACGTTCTATACGGAAGTACGGAAACTGAGTCCACCCTCTAAGGGTGAGATCTATAGTGCGCACTTAGACTTTGCTCTGACTTAACTATCGAGCTAAGACACAGTCGGTATTTATAGAGCAAACTGCGAATCTCTCCCTAGTGTTGGCTTAGCTTAATCTCAAGTCCACGAAATCGACGACTTACCAAAAACTTTGACTATAAGCCTAACAAAAATAATGGCCCAAAATTTGCTTTTACCATCATATCTTTTACTGGACTTTTTATTTTTGTCGGTTTTTAATGAACGGTGTTGCCATTTTGTATCGGAGTTCCATAGACTTTGGGAAAAATAGAATTTGAATTCAAAGAAATTATAAATGATCTTGATAAATACCTATGAAATGCATGAAATAAAATAATTACACATTATTATGGTATTTATTGTTGTTTATTTATATTATTTATGTAATTGTTCAAACCCCATTTTTGAGAAATCTTAAAAATAACTGGTGTATTTTGTATGTCACCTGGCAGCCCTGGCATATTATAGTGACAACGAAATTTAAACCATAACCTAACCGATGTCTCTGCTTCACATCTGTTTTTTCGTTTCCTGAATCTTCTACCATTTATTACCTGACTACCTTAAAAAATTTGAGGTAGGAGTGGAACATATAAATTAAAAATCTGTTAGAAATAGAATTTCTTCAACAAAAATATAAATTAGTATTAGAAATATTATTACACTTAAAAAAAGAATCAGAAAATAAATGATTAAAATGAAACAAGTTTTGTTTTGATATTCTTTATTACCAAACAAATTACCTAGTTAAATTGTGCAATCACAGATTGCCGGAATGCTAGACCTGTAGGAGATCTTTCATTGTTTCTGTGTTACTCAACTTCTGCTGTCAGCAAGATCACCATCATCATAAGCATCGCCTCTCTGTATACCTATATTATCAATACAGCACAAGCTATAATTATATATAACTAGTATTTGTCAATTTAGACTGTAGTCCTAGCTGTAAACATGGAAATTTCCTTTTTCACACTCCGAAAAACCTTTAAAAATATGCCTAGTTCTTATTTGAGAATAATTAAATATTGTCAGCTCTTGTATTGATTTAAATTTGTTAATGGTTATTATAACCGTTGTCACCTACTAAAACAGGCATTTTCTAAATATCCTGTGTCGTGTGAACTGCCAGGCCACCTAGTCACTATAGAAATATTTCCATATCAGGCCCTATTATTGCTTGCACATTTACAGAAAAATACCCTTTTTTATTTCTGTATGCTTCAGAGTGAGCGATACCTTTGGGTCTATTAATTTTTATATGGTCAGTCAATAGCTCCGATTATACTGTTTAGCCATGGGGATATTAGATCTGTAATTTCTTGGAAAATTTACAAATCTAGGAAGTAATTTACTCAACTCTGCAGAGACTTTATTTATAATTAAACAGACTGTAGATTGGCTTATGCTGTTCAGATCACCACACACCATCTGTAATGTCAATAAAGTATTATTAGTCACATATATGTTATGTTTGAAAGTCAGAAGACAAAAGTCTTCAACATAGTACTATTTAAAATCATTTGAGAAGAGGTATAATATATCAAATTGAAAAACCATACATATTTATGAACACAATATTACCTGAAAACATCCAGTTGCATTTTTATGCCTTAATGCAAAGTATTGCAATTGGTAGGTTTGGCGATCCTCTGTTGTTATAAGGTTGCAAGTTTGTAATGATAGGTCAGATCACATTTAATACCGTGTTTTCAAAATACGGTTCCTTCTTTTGAATTCATTCTCACCGTACAGGATGGAAGGATTTTGGTTTTATTAGTTCCGAACATATACAACACTTTAGGCATTCGTGGATTCATATCGGCTGCAGTTCCTACCCTTTCAATGTTTTCTATTGAAGATAGAACTCTCTCTCTCCATCATGTCACTTTCGATATTGATATTTCCAAGCGGTCCATGTAACAAAGCCAAATCACAAAACGTCACAGTGTTTCGGGAATGCGTAGGTCTTAAGTAGGTATACGATCCAGATTGTCCAGGTCCAAGTCACAAAGCCAGTCGTTGTTTTGAAGAAAGATCAATTTAATAAATTGTCTTGTAAGTGGTTTAAAATTTTCAATTGTTGATAGTTGATACAAGTGCTCTGTTGCTGTTGTCAAAACATTGCGATCCGTTCTACGTAATAAAATTATTGTCATCTTTAAATAATTAATACATTTTCTAAAGGTTACTCGTGAATTTCTAGTTATTGCAATAATAAAATAAATGAATACATAAATAACAATAAATTGAAGATATATGTGTACCGTTTTAGATTTTTAAATATTTGTTATCGTTAACTTTTTTAAAGGATAATAAACAAAGTATTGCATGAAATGAAACATCAATTTGTATTTTGACATTTTCTGTCTTAGCTTGGGCTTAGCTTAACTCACCGTTAAAATGTCTATAAATACGAAATCATAGTTTAACCTTAGTGTACACTAAGCAAAGTTTTTCGTAAGGTAAGTCTGAGCAAAGTCCAAGTGCGCACTATAGATCTCACCCTAAGTAAACACGATACCGCTATTTAAGTGTATAGATATCATCTCTAAACACGACAAATTTACAAATACGAAAATAGATATTGTAAACTTATGATATTTTCTTTTTGATTTTTGCGTCGGAGATTAAACAAAGTTTTTAAAGCTGTATTAAAAAGATATTTTAATAAAATAATTGACCATATCTTCTGAACACAAGTTGTTGTGATGTATGTTACGAATCCTTTATACAAAGTTGTTAGTCTTGAAGACAACGGCGGGAATCAAAGCTATGACCTTAGATGTGTCTGCCCACCCTAAGCGTTATCTTACTTGTAGGTAATTAAAAAAAACCATCTCTAACTAATGAGTACAACTAATAGTCCCAGATATGGGTTGATAAATGGCTTACGAAATAACTGACCAATTTGATTATCTAAACGATAATTTTCTAACACAAAGGATTTTAATGTTAGTAATCAATTGTTTTGTAATACTAACTAGACATTATGATACCCAATAACCCAAATGAAACGGAAATTTGGTTTAGGAAAGCAATTCTAGCCAACATTAAGTTAAATTGTAAACGTATTATGCTTTGACATTTGAATTCTAACATTTGCAGTAAAATTTACTAACGCAAGACCTTCTTTTACTTTTTAAGATTTTAATTAAGTCAAAGTAAAATAAATTAACACTTTTACAGAATTAGGTAAAGTTATAATTTTATAATATAGCGTTTTGGATGTTAAGCCTCTCACTAAGGTCGCACTGTTATTCTTTATTTGTCAGGTTTCTCTATCTTAATCTTTGCTTATTTATTATAGGCAAGTACGATGTTCTTCATCTTTTTCATTGTACAAGTATGTGGTAATTGAAAGGAAAAGAAAACTACCCCCTTGATCTAACGAATTTGAATTAAACTTTATCAATAAGTTAACAAAACATTTTTTAGATGGGTTACGCAGACATAGGTCAATCTGGTCGCGGTATCCACACGCGCCAGTTCTCTCGTGCATTTATTTTTGTTCAAGGAGATACCAGGATTGTTCTGGTGACAGCAGATGTCCTGGCAATCGGGATTGGCGTAAGAAGAGAGGTGGGTACAAACAATTAATTAATATGCACATGCATATTGTTTACAATTTATTTTCATACAAGAAAGTTTACCTAGCCGATAAAATAAACCATTTTAACAAAGAGAACTGCATACCTATGGCATATAAACGGATTAGAGAAATCATTTGCGACTTGCATACACGCAAACGATATAAATTCAATAGATATTCCGATCCATATCAACTTCATTTATGAGTTTTTTCATCGTATAATTTGTAATTAACTGTTACTTTTTTATACTTACGTTGCGGCTGAAACCAAGCCGGAACTGTAACAAGTTGTTATAGAAATCTAATATATGAAATTCTCGTATCACAATGTTCGTTCCCACATTCCTCCGAAACGGCTCGACCAATTCTTATGAAATTGTTTATGCAGATTCAGTAAGTCTGAGAATCGGCTACTATCTATTCATACCCCTATTTTTATTATTGATAGTTATTTTTATTGAACTATAAAATGTTTCCTAGAAATAATATACATGGCAAAACAACGCTTGCCGGGTCAGCTAGTAGAAATATCGAATTTGTATCAGTAATAATACCACATTTACGTTAATTTTTTTTCCAGGTGGTGAATAAACTTCAAGAGATTTACGGAGACATGTACACGCTACGTAACGTAATACTTACAGCGACACATACACACAGCGGACCTGGCGGCCATCTTGTAGATTTTATATTAGACGTTTCCATACTGGGATTTTCAAAGGAGACATTGGACGCTTATGTCGAGGGAATTACTAGGGTAAGTAAAATCCTATGGGTTTGTAACGGGATACAGTCTCTGGTACAGTATATGATAGATAATAATTGTTTTCAAATCTTTTACATTGAAATTCAGCACGAGTTTTACCAACTGAGTTTAAATTAAACTTGTTATTGCTAACTAGTGATTTGAAGTCGCATACAGCTAAAGACCTCGCACAGCAAATATTTTATTATCATTGTTATTTAACTTGCAGCATTGGCATAGTGGCGTCAGCGTGCGACTCTCATCATTGAGGTCGTAGGATCGATCCCCGGCTGTGCACCAATGCACTTACTTTCTTTTCTTTGTGAAGGAAAACATTGCGAGGAAATCGGGCTTGGCTTAGACATAAAAAGTCGGCCTGTGTTAGGCACAGGTTGATCACCCACTCGCCTATTAGATTGATAAATGATCATGAAACAGATACAGAAATCTGAGGGCCAGACCTAAAAAGGTTGTAGCAACATTGATTTGTTTGTTTTATTTAACTTACAGAGTATTATACGCGCTCATGAGAACATAGTTCCCGCTCGTTTGTTCTACGGCAGCGCCAGTGTATTAAATGCACAGTTGAATAGATCGCCTTTCTCCTACAATCAAAATCCTGAAGAGGAAAGAAACAGGTCAGACATAATCTATCATATTATATGAAAAGTGACTGCTATAATGACAATAATCTTCTTGCCTATAAAGAAAAATAAACAAGAAACAGATTGGATATGTAAGACCTTCTGCACATTAGACAACATCTGATTTGACTTGATTCTTAGTTTTTAGAGAATCTTAGTACTATCTTTTTTTGCCGCGCACCCCCACTATGTGGAACCAGCTGCCCACTGATGTATTTCCGAACAAATTCGACTTAGGGTCCTTTAAAGAGCGTATCAATTCTTAAAAGGTTGGCAACGCACTCGGGAGCGCTCTGGCATTGAAAGTGTCCATGGGCAGCGATATCACTTAACGTCAGATGAGCCCGTTTGCCCCCTGTTCTATTAAAAAAAAGTGCGTGCGTACAAAGTACACACGTCAGAAGTGAAACTTCTTTGGCAAACTAATTTTTAAGTCTTGTTATATTTATACAAATCTAAAACTTTAGATTTCCGAGACTTAATTTAATGAATGAATGTAATTAAAATATTAGAAGTGTCGACAATTAATACAAATTATAAATTTATTTCTTTGATAATAAAACACGTGGCATTTTAATTTACAATTCTTCATTTAAGATTTCATTAAATTATTTTGCATAAAATATAAAATACTAATATTTCATAAATTCTCTTTACGAAATTTTAATTTTTAAAATAGAAATTCTATTTTTAATAAGGTAATTCACCCTTCTCACTCTCTCTCAATCGGTCCCAATCGCCTCATGCGCCTAAAGAGGTTTCACTTCATAAAACCAGCTGTTTAGTGCTTGATCATAACGTATACGTATATATAAAAATGCACAATTGCCAATTACGTATAAATCATTGTTATTTAATTAATTTTTTGCAGATACGACACCAATACAGACACAGACTTATCCGTAGTTCGTATAGAGAAAGCCGATGGCAGTCTCCATGGCGTGATGAGCTGGTTTGGAGTACACACAACTAGTATGAATATGAGCAATCATCTCGTATCTTCGGATAATCTGGGATATGCAGCAATGAAGCTGGAGGAAACTCTTAATCCTGGAAGTCAGATTGGGAAGGTACTTGGCTTGTTATATTTTTCTGTAAATTATGACTAAGAAGCATCAGAGGAAGACTTCTATAAGTCTATAAACTCCACTTTAGTCCTTCTGTAGAATGAACAAAAGCATAGAGAATTTTAGTTTTACTCTATATTAACCACTCGCTTACAACAATAATATAAGCGAAATAATGAAATGTTAATTGCTATTTAACGAATAGATGCAATGTTACAGTCGAAGAGAGTGCCTACGTTTGGCTATACTCTTGGGGCGTAACTCCCGTGATTTAGTTAATTGCTATGACCGAATGACTACAATGTAACAGTCGAAGAGAGTACCTGCGTCTAGCTATACTCTCGGGGCGTAACTCCGACGATTAATGTAATCGCCACGCTTATAAAACTAAGAATGCCTGAGTGAGCAAAATGTACAGCCCTGGCTCGTACAGGCATACTTAAAAAAAACATTTCTTTCAGCCATCGATAGTAGCCGGTTTCTTTGCTGCAAGTCAAGGTGATGTGTCTCCAAATACACGAGGTGCACGCTGTGAATTTAGCGGAGATTCTTGTGACAACCAGTTCGAGTTGTGCGCACAGTGGGAACTTTGTTTCTCAGTGGGACCTGGAGATGATATGTTTGAGAGTACCAGGATCATTGGGACTTGGGTGTATGAAGGTGCCCTGGTCAGTATTTCATTATAGCTAGACAAAATATTTACCTAACTTTATATTAGAAACATAATTTTGTGATTGGATCAATTCATATTAATTTGTAATCATGGTCGATAACAGATACAGTTATAGTATCTTCAATGCTTTAGGGAGTGTTCAAGTATTACGTACGATAATCTCCAAAAATTGCGTGACGTAATATTTGAACGCTCCCTTACTCAGTTCGTCGTTTTAAATGTCTGATACTAAAGTTTTTATATATTTGAGCGGGTTTATTAACTAATCACAAATATAACTAATTTATACTTCAGGGTGTTCTGAACAGTCCTGGTGAAGAGTTGCGAGGAGAACTAGCTGTTGTTCATCAATTTGTGGAGATGCCATCAGAGACCGTTGCTAAGTACAATCCAGTCTCAAGGACTTTTAATACTGTGAGTATCTCATTTTAATTATAAATATACACACGAAGTAAATTTATTAATTTAGAACCATCCAAAAATTACAGTCTAACCCAGTGAGCGGTTGCGTTCCAGGCCTCGGCTACAGTTTCGCTTCAGGGACTATAGATGGCGCTAATCTACTTAATATCACACAGGTATGTAATACCCAGTTCTCTACGATACCTGCTTTCGATTCCCAGAACCATGTAGTTGCTATCTAACAACTAAGCTTTAATAATTCCAACTGTCGAAAGGCTGGCAATGCAGTCGCGACCATACTGTTAGTTTCCGTTGGCGATAGCACTTAACATCAGATGAGCCTATCATCCTTTTACCCACTCTATAAAATATATTAACGATGGCAGATGTCTGCTCATGGTTGTTAATACAAACGTTCAAAGTACAGTATAGATACCAGCAAACTTCTTGAGCATTAAACAAGGGAATGAGTGGACATTTGCTCAAGATGTTTGCCGGTATCTGTAACCCTTTACATAACACTTGTCCATCGTATTTTAGAATATGCTACTGTAATCTGGTCACCACATTTCAAAAAGGTTTTGAAACAGTTCAAAAACGTTTCCTTAGAAAGCTTTGCAATTGTTGCGTGGTCTATTGCAAACTTCAATACTAACATTGAAGAAAATGTTGATATATTTTACAACAATCTTCCAACTTACCGTAACTTTGTTGTTCATGCTCTTACTGAGGTTTAAGTTACTTAGTTTTAGTTATTGTTTTTTTTGTGGTTGCTTGTTAAATTTTTTTCCCTAGCTTGCGTATGTAATATGTTCTAATACAATTGATGTGAATGTGTGTATAATTAGTGATGTCATATTTTCTTGTATCATTTTATGCATACACGTTGTTTTAGAACTTATAAATAAATAATAAAATGTCACCATTATATTCTTTATAACCTGGTACTAAAATTAATAGTGATCTCTTTTCTAAGCTATCGTCATTATTATAAAAGTGTACAAGTTTATGTTATACCATTTCAGGGTACATTAAATAATAATCCATTATTAGATGAAATAAGCGGTGTAATAGCAAAACCGACTGTTGAAGACATTGAATGTCACGCGCCAAAACCTATTCTTCTTGCCACTGGTAGGGTAAGTAGGAACATTTTTTATTAGTAGGTAGATGAGTTTGTTTGAATGGCCTTATCTCAGGAACTATCTACTACTACTGGTTGGAAATTATATTTATTGTATTGGTTATTGTTAATCTTTTTATCGGCAGTTACCAGTAGGTTTATTTTTTAAATAAGAACTGCAAAAAAAATCCACTCGGGCTACCTACCTAACCTTTTTTAGGTCTGGGTCAGTTTTCTGTATCTTTTTCTTGATCATTTGTCTTTTGAAGTTACACTTCTATTGCCGCGTTAGGGAGTAAATTTTTACGATGCGCGCGACACCCTGAAGTTAGCTTAGTCAACATTTTAAAATAAAAAAATCCATTTCTTTAATTATGTAGAAATATGTTTTTTGTGATATAAACTTTATTTAACTAGATTAAATGCGTTAAAATAACACTTTCAATGTATTAAATACCTTTTTTCTATTGTTAGTTTCGTTCTACAAATTTTTGAAAAGATTTTTATCTTTTTATGCCAAAGAAGTATATCGTCTAACGTGTGTACATAAGTATCCACACACATGTTTTTTTCTAATAAATAAAGTACATGATCAGCCTTCTATTTTCGTCGAGCGAGTTTAAACGAGCACTCTCATGAGCGAGCACGAGCCGAGATTCAAACCTACGACCTCAGGAATGAGAGTCGCAGACTGAAACCTCTTGCCACAGCTCTATTTATAAAATAACACGGCTTAAAAGAGATTAGGATAAAACAAAATAGTAATTTGAAGCATTCTCTATTAATTTTCTATATGAAAACATTAATTAAATTGAAAAAAAATTTAGGCAAACTTCCCATTTCCCTGGCACTCTAGCGTGGTGTCAGTCTCCCTAATTTGGCTCGCTGGCTTAGCAATAGCTGGTGTCCCAGGTGAGCCCACGACAATGGCAGGCAGGCGGATAAAGGATGTCGTCAGTTCGATTCTGGAGGAAAAAAATTTGGAACCAAGAGTTGTTGTATCTTCGCTCTGTAATGAATATATACATTATATTACTACGTTTGAGGAGTATCAGGTAATACAATTAATTTACAATTTTTTTCAACTATTATTGTCCGTATTTTATTTATTTCATATATATCTATCTATATTGTTTATGTATTTTAAAATTGAAGGATTTTATATATAGAACAGGGGGCAAACGGGCTGGAGGCTCATCTGATGTTAAGTGATACCACCCATGGATGGAGGGCTCGCGAGCGCGTTGCCGGCCTTTTAAGAATAGCTAAGCTCTTTTTTTGAAGGACCCTTAGTCGAATTGGTTCGGAAATACTTCAGTGGGTAGCTGATTTCATATAGTGGTGGTGCAAATACTGCCTTAAGAAACGCTCAGTTGTGGAACGGCGGACGTCGAGGTGATACAGGTGGAATTTCGTATTCTGCCTCGACGTCCGATGATGAATCTCAGCTGCAAAGTCATATTTCATCATTACGAGCAAATTTTGATTTAAAACAAACAGAAAGATATATCATACTAATACCAGAGAATTAAAAGTTTAAACAAATAATGTAAAGGCAGTAAAGGCATAGAAAATCTGTATAATACTTTTTTCTTACAGGTGCAAAGATACGAAGCAGCATCAGTCATTTATGGACCGAACACTTTGGATATATTCCTTAACAGATTTAGGGAGTTTACTAATGTGGCGTTAGAGGTAAACCAAATCGGGTTTGTAACATGCACATTGCACATCGTAAATTCAAAATTGTACCCATCCATTATATCTTTTTATTAATTATGTAATTAATAGTTTTCTTGCCCTATTCTGAAAACTACTGAGTTTCCTAAAGATGACTGTGAATGGAAAATAATAATCAAACAACGATAAAAAAGGCTTCGCTATTAAGTAGTATTTTCCAAAAAGAATAATGAAAAAATTGTCTTAAACTTGTGAAGAAAAAATTATTTAAATAAATTAACATAGCGTTTAATTTACAGCAGTATTCTCCTGTTTAATCGTGTGTCGCTTGATGATTTTCCTTAATGGTTGCTCAATTAACAATATTCGTATAGTGTAGGTACATACCGAGTAACCGGTCTGTCTTTGAGAAAAAAAACTCTGAAATCTGATCACTTAATGGTTGGCGTAATAAGCTCACACCTTTTGTTAATTTTCAGGGTGGCAATATCCCAGCGGGCCCAACGCCCATAGACTATCGTAACAGCACAATTAGCCTCGTCCCATCCGTGATCTTAGATGTAGCACCAATGGGTCGCAACTTTGGAGATGTATTGGAGGAACCACAGTCGGCAAGACCTGGGGATACTGTTAAAGCTACCTTTGTAAGTATTTGCTCAAAATAGCACATTTGAATAGATACATTGACCAACGATCCATGCTTGCTTGAATGTAAAATATTTGTATTTGTTGTACATTATTATATATGTACTAGGTGATACAGGAAACACCATCCTTATATGTGCATTAACTTGTAAACTGCGATATCATAAAACATCTGTAAACTTTGTGTTTCGTGCATACTCAAAGTCTGTTAAAACGCGTTTGTCTTTTTTTGTCTCGCACACATTATAAAGCCATATTTAAGTAAGATTCAATATTTTATTGAATCGTGCTATCACGAAAAGGCAACAGAAAACTTTTTTTTTTTTCAGAAAACTGTTAAAACGCGTTTGTCTTTTTTTGTCTCGCACACATTATAAAGCCATATTTAAGTAAGATTCAATATTTTATTGAATCGTGCTATCACGAAAAGGCAACAGAAAACTTTTTTTAATAATATATACTAAGGTATAAGAAGGTATATGTTTATCTTAAAACATTAACACTATATACATACAGTACATTAAAACTACTCCAAAAATTAATTAAACCATGTTGTATGTACAACTTAATTTATTGGCTACACAATATCATCTAGATACACGAAATAAACAGTTTCAAATTGTTTTTATGGTATAACGATATTACCTATATAATCTGTCTGATATATTCCTGAGATTCAGACTCTAAGGATAGTATAGGATTTTAAAACGATTATTTTCGTAGATTGCAGCAAACCCGCGAAACAATTTACGTCAGGAGTCAACTCATGCCACAGTTGAGAGACTGGAACTGGGTAGATGGCTGGTCGTGGCTACTGATGCTGACTGGAGTACCAAGTTAGTACCTTCACCTTGCTTTCCCATACATCTGAAGTAAAAATACTGCTTGAATTATTCAATGCGTTCGTAATCAGCGAAATAATAGTTATTTTTGGTTAAAGCCGATTAGTGTTAGCAAATCTCTAATGCTTCATATTTCGTGTAGTTGCAGCGTTATATTTTTATATTTATTTTTCATTTTTAGTTATATCTTTATATTTCATTAACAGGCGTTATTTTTTCTTATTATACTATATGGGCTATATTTAATTTTTACAAAATATCATTTTACTTTTATACTATGCTATTTCTTAGCAGTATAACAATGTAGGGTATACTTTTTTTTAATTAATTTTATATCTTACAGATTCACATGGCAGCAAGAGTCCATCTTAGGAACAAGTACCGCAACCTTTGAGTGGACAATTCCTGCCGACACTCCGATCCTTCAGGTCCCATACCGCATCGTGTACTATGGGACTGCAAGGGGAGCTCAGGGGGAGTTTTCGAAACTTTGAAGGAAGATCCGCCAGCTTTAATATTAATACAATAAATAGTTAATGTTATTCATTTGTTTTATTTTGAATAAGTTAATCAATCATTTTTGTACCTAGGACATTCAGAGTACACGTATTGAGTATACTGAGTACATGACAGAGTTACGTAGCCACAAGTCGTCAATTATAGTTATAAATATAGTACTTCCTTGTGTATCACGTGCTAGAGTCTTGCCACGGAATAATCTTCTTTATTGCTAAGAATTATGGTCTAAATACAGTGTAAAATACCATGCGACATTCAGTGTTTTTCATGCGTTTCGACTAGTTAGTCTTGTCACTGTTATTACAACTGCATAAATTACGACAAAATCTGTGAAATTATGACTATTCAGAAGATTTTAAAGGATTACAACTGATGTAGGTACAATACAGAAATCATATTTATCAATGAAATAAGAGTTTTTTTTAAAGTTATAACTACCAATCAACGTGTAGATTACACCAAGATTTGCCCACACGGCCTTTGTTGTTTGTAAAATAAGAAATAGTTTTCCTTCTATAACTGTCAATTGTGTTCTTTCTAGATAAGAACATCATAAAAAACTTTCAAAGTATTTGTTGATCGTAGCTAAATACATTTTTAGACGTTCTTTTACTGTATTGGAAATTAAAACGTTATGTTTTGTTTAATTGATAATAATAACAAACATATTGACATTTGCATTGTAAACACTAAAATATCTGGGGTCATAAACTTAACGACGATAAATATTTGATAAGCGATATACTCATTTGTCTTAGCTCTGTTTAGTGATACAGTGTTTAAAAGTTTCAAGGTAAGAAAAATTAATAAGAATTTTAAATATTTCTTAAGAGGTCGGACAGTTTTTCTAATACAAGCATATTGAGTTACCTAATAGTTTCCATTGTACTTAATTCTAATTTTAGCAAGCACATTCGTTATTTGAAAAATATAATTTAGATTACATTTAAGACATCGCGAATATAATATTATCATTATTATTAATATAATGTTATAAAATGTTTAAAAAAACCTAAATCGATGTCAGATACTATATTTTTATACATAAATACTAGCCGTTTCCCGCCCGCTTTGCTGGGCGAATTAAAATAGGAAATAAATAAAATTTTATGTTTCATTATTTTTTTTTTCATATTTTTATTATTCTTCTTTTTAACTTCCCGCTAAGAATATTGAAAATTTTCGACAATCGAGTTTTTAACAGATGTTGAGGTTCTAGGAAGCCTCCCCGAATGTTTCCGAGGTGAAGTCCGTATGTATAAATTTTCATAAAAGTAAAACAGCAATAAAAAACCATAAACCATCTAGGAAAAATTTTGCATCGAATGTGTCGATACGATCAGTGGTTTAGGCGTGAAGGAGCCTCAAACGAAGACCATTTTTCTTATATATATATAGATAGATATACACTAATTACTAATATTTTCAATGCAATAATCTAGCGTTCAATGTCCTAAGTTTATTTTTAGCTACAACTTTACATTGGGTAGGTAGTTGACACTAAAAATTGAATTACATCAAACACTTACATTCGTTTTATTCTACGCGATTTTAAGAAAATTTTTTTAAATATAAATCAGTGTCGATACAACCTTTTTAGGTCTGGGCCTCAGATTTCTGTATCTGTTTCATGATCATTTGTCAATCTAATTAGACATAGGTGCTCAGCCTCCTGTGCCTGACACAAGCCAAGGACGTTTTGGGTCTAAGGCAAGCCCGGTATCCTCACGATGTTTCCCTTCACCGTTCGAATGTTACATGCGCACATAGACAGAAAGTCCATTGGTGCACAGCCGGGGATCGAACCTTCGACCTCAGGGATGAGAGTCGCACGCTGAAGCCACTAGGCCAACACTGCTCCTTACAAAGCACCTACTACATTAAAATAATCTTAATTGTCACAGGTAATTAACGATGGCGAAAATAATTACAAAGAAGATAATAAATAGTCCAGAAACATGCGTGGATGATAATCTGCTTGGAGTTGTGGCTCTTTATCCTAGTTTGAGGCTTCATCCAAAGCATAGAGTCATTACTATACGACAAAATGTAAGTTAATTATCATTTAAATATACATTAGGTTGGCTTTTCAGGCGGAATCACAAAACATCTTAAGCAATTGACATACGCAATGATATTCACAAACGTAAATACGAAAGTATTACTTTGTCACAATTATTTATTTGCAAAGTGACAAATAAGGGAAAAGCGTAAAAAATACAACAGATATTTAAGACTATTGGCGTTACTAACTTAAAGTAGCTTTTTGAAAATTTAGACTAAGTTGTAGCTTTATTATACATTATTAGTAATATTATTTATTGTGTTCCAGGTTGATTCTAAAAGGGTAGCGATACTGGGAGGTGGTGGATCTGGTCATGAACCATTTGCAGCAGGTATTGGACTGTTATTTATAACATAACATTTCATATACATTACACTCCATAAATATACAGTATTAACAATAATCTTAACCTATAATAATAAAAAATTATGAATAGAAGGTTAAAAGAAATTTAAAAAGTTTGGTCCCTATGGCAGTGTACCTGAAATACTGCCAGCATTTCCTCGCTGTATTGCGATACTTATTCGTTGAGCGAGGAAAGCACCAGCTCTGAGTATCATCTAGCAGGTGCCTACTTAAATCTTTAATTAGCGACTGTGCCCTTGAACCCCACGGCCCAAGAGTCTCTATTGCAAAGGGAACGAAATCAAAGTGGGACAAAGTGACAGTATCATCTATTTCCTTGTACATAAAATACCATTTTAGGTATTCACTTGATGTATTCTTTGATGCAGCAGTATGGCAGTACCCTCTATTCTTTGGGCTTACATAATTATGTCCTATTAATGTTATCAGAATAAGTTTCTTGTTTCCCCGGTATTAATACAGACGTTCTCTTTCATAAATGTTTAATTAAAATAGTTTATTAATAATAGGATTGATCGGCTCTGGAATGTTGGATGGTTCAGTGGCTGGTGGAGTATTCGCATCTCCTCCAACAGGTCACGTTCTGTACGCAATAACACAACTGTATAAATATAATTCAGGTAGGTTTAATTCCACTTTTAATTAAACATAATTTGTATTTAGTATTAAATACCAATGCTAATTTATAGGTGGAGTCTTGGTGATACTTGGAAACTACACGGGTGACAGATTGAATTTCGGCAAAGCTATTGAAAAAGCTAAAATTGCGGGAATAAAGGTTAATATTGTATTTGTATCAATTATCTAAACTAATAAAACTAATTTCTTTTTTATAAATACATTGTCTCATCACTGACACATCTTGGAACATTACGATCTAGCCTAGCTTAAGACTAATAAGTCATTTAAGTCTAACCTAATTTACTAAAAAGAACATTAACATTAGAAAGAGTCCAGTAACACTACTTACAGTCTCTATTAAGGTCATAGCACACATATCAACTCGGAAAGGGATCGCCGCCGTATCACCTCCAGCCGTTCAGTATTGTTTGTATGAAACTCCCTTCTGCAACGCACACTAATCGGAATCGTAACGTCATCGCCTCGCCTCGGAACAGGCTCAGAACCGCGATGCGGTGCGTGGTCAACTTGCAGTTCCCACGCTTACGGCTCGTCGTCCCCGCGCTTACGGCTCGTCGTCCCCGCGTCCTTCGTCCACCATTGCCCCTGTCCACTCCTACGACACTCCTCTCTTTATTCATATTGTGTACCCAATATCTTTTTCTTCGATTTTTGCGATTTTCTTTTTACTCTTCATCAAGTGGTAGCAATCTCACGTATTGTAACCGGGACATAACCGTGCACTACACTTAACTGATCTGGTGCCAACCAGATCAAACAGTGGTCGGCGAGCCGTAAGCGCGGTGTTCCCTAGCCGTAGCCGAGTTGACGTACAGGAGCTGCTGATACGCTTTGGCTACGTGCATACGTTAGGTTGACGCCTGGTTGACGGCGAGGCGAAAGGTGATACGGTGACTATCCCTTTCCGAGTTGATATGTCTGCTGTGACCTTTAAGGGGTAGACACTCTGTTCTTGTGTTCTATTTTTTCACTTACCACTGTATAGCACTTCTCTAGTCACTAAAATGTATAGTTTTACATTGCTAAAACTAGTATAACCCCAGTTGTTTGGCGCAGGTGGAAGGTCTCATAGTGGGAGAAGACGTCGCATCCAGTCAAAATAAAACTGGAGGGCGGAGTATGTGCGGGGAAGTCTTCTTTTATAAGGTAAAGTTTAAGTAATTACCCATATAACATAATATGTATGTTCTTTCTAAAGTGGAAAATCATTTGGCTAATATTAACGGCTACTCTTTCAAGTCTTTTCAAATTTTCTAGAGCAAATTTTATGATTAAGAATAATTTATTTTCACTGCATCGAATTTAAGCTGATCCAGTGGATATAATTATTTGCTGGTTACGAAATAGTAGACAGAACGAAGTAAAGAAAATACATTTAAATATCAGTATTTCATTAGAAAATTTTCTATCTCCATCTTTTTTGTTAATGTATTAAAAAATTTCGCGAATTAACGCTACTTATACGGACCTTGATATATTTTATAGTCGGCTGATCAATTAAAAATAAAACGTTGTTAATCGGGTACCTTAGCCGCATTGTTAAGTGAATAAGTATTTTTTAAATTAGTAACTAAAATTTTTGTTTGTAGGTGTAATTTTTTTTGTAAATTTAATGTTCACCCTTATGTATTTTAATATATCTAATATCGTAACTTATACGTAGAAAATGCATTATATATGATTCAATAAATTACAATGTATTCAAATTCATGTATCAGTTGTGTGGAGCTATGGCTGTAAAGGGATATGATGTCGAATCGATTCGCGAGATGGCGCTTGAAGTTAACAGAAACATGGCGACGTTGGGTGTCTGCCTTACTGCTTGCTCTCTTCCAGGTATATATCATAAGTGATCAAACAATTTTATATATAATCTCTACATTTAAAAACCTCCTACACTTATCAGGCGATATATCGAAAAGGCACTATATTTGTAGTAGTAGATAGTCATTTATATAAATTAACAAAAATACTTTTGATAATAAAACAATTTTTTACCGGATTTAAGTTATGTATTTACAATTATTTTTCATAATTTTACATTTAACCGACGTTTCGCGTGCTTTACAGCGTGCGTGGTCACGGTGACGGTAATTGTAAAAACATAACTTCAATCCGGTAAAAAATTTGTTTTATTATTAAAAGTGTGAAAGTTATGTCAATAAAAGACAATACTAAAAATACTTTTGTAAAATAAGTTAAAATCCATAATTTAACTCTAGAATGCTTAAAACAAACACACATTACATTTTCCCACACACACCACAACCAATAATTTATTAGTAAATTGTCTTGGTTAGTACGTATACGTTATAATATATGCAATCAGTTTTGGATGGCTTTGTATTTAAAAATTGTAAATTATATCTTAAAAAAGCGGATTGTGGATTATCAATAACTGTAAAATAAAATAAATAGATTCTAATTTTTTTGCAGGTCAACCACCTCTATTTGAGATAGCATCAGATGAGATGGAGATCGGCGCAGGAGTTCACGGTGAAGCCGGTATTGAAAAGCGGAAGATGGGAACAGCTAAAGACATTGTTAAACTTATACTTGATCAGGTATTTCAAATTTGCCAGTCTCAATCATCATGTAGTTGTAATTGTATTTATGTTTACACCACTGGTGTTTTGTTATAGCCTTAAATATCGCCTTAGGGTTGAAAGAGTATAAATACAAATTAACTTAAGAAGATACTTTTTATACTAGTCAAGAGCTGCTAGAATATTTCAACTTTTTCTTATATAGGTCATAAGCCATTTGAAGCTTAAAGAAGGAGCTACAGTAGCTGTTATGATCAACAATATGGGGGGTACGTCTATCATGGAAATGAATATCATCGCAGCTGAAGCAAGACAATATCTAGGTAACTTTTTTATTTTCTTTTTATATTTCCATCGGTCTTCCAATATCTTTGGATTTAATAAAGAGTATTCATAATCTTAGAGGACTTGCATACAAACACAGGGGTGACGAGCAAAACGTTTTAAAATTCTTCCAAATTTTCCAGATAAATCTAAAATCCGCGCTGAAAGAATATATTCTGGGCATCTAAAAACCTCCCTGGAAATGCAAGGTTTCCAAATCTGTTTACTCCACCTGAACGAGAGTCATGGAAAGTTATGGCTGGACCTCTTAGACCAACCCACTGAGGCCCGGGGCTGGACTGGAGGTGTCATGTCTGTCAGACCTACACAAGAATTGGAACATGGAGATGAAGAAGACTTGCAGAGCGATGTACATGAGGTAGCACTAATCTCACGTAATCGTCGAGTTAGCCTGTCGTGGAAATAGTATATTATCAATAAAAAACCCATATTTTAGGGAGATGCCGGTCCGTCATTAACTAAAAAAGATCAAGATGTGATACAGAAGAGTTTGATGGCGGCTGCAGAAGAGTTGGTGAAGAACGAAGAACTCCTTAACAGACTGGACTCGGGTTGTGGAGATGGAGATTGTGGTATTACGATCAAGAAATTTGCCGAAGGTAATGTTTTATTATTATAAAATATTTATTTACCGATAATCCTACAATTAAAAATCATTAAAAAGTATATATATGTTGGAGCCATGGCGCTGGTATACGGCTGTTCATTATTTAATAAATCAAAGTCAATTAATTCAAACCAGTTATTTTGTTTATTAGATTTACCTAGATCTTATAACTAATAATATAGCAAGCTGCTCTTGTGAACTCAGCCAGTGTACAAATAAATAGGTCTACCTCAAATAGGTCATATAGGGTAATAATATTGTTAAGGTTGATATAGGTGATAAACACAAGATTGAGATACATTTGTTAAAGCTAAGAGTAGACGCATCTCTTCCAGTATTGCCTATATAGGTAATAGGTATGTCTTTTGCATTGTACCTTATAAGAACGTTTTAATGTTATGATTGTCCATAAAAAAATATTGTTGACTAGTCATACATCCCGACCCTGGACTAGGTTGCTCGTAAGTGTAATCAAACGTAACAAACACTTTTACGTATATATCATTACTGTTTAAGGAGATTTAAATTTTAAAATTGTCCTAACGTTGCACGCAGAGCATCATGCATGGTTACCGGACTACGTATGTGATTGTAAAAATATTAAAAAAAAAGTGTGGCACTCGGGGACTGCCGCGGTAAAGCTATTGCATGGCATATTTTATCAACTTATGCAATTATAATTATTTATTTATTTTTGCAGTATTTTTTTTCTTTGATATTAATTCAATCTACCACTCTAATGCGTACCGGCTGCACCGGCCGCGCTTACGTCACGGAACTCGTCATAGATGTGAATACGCAGTATGCGTTCTGTCCCGCTCTAACGCGTATTGGCCGCACCCATATTACGTCATCGCGTGTTAGGTTTTTATGTTCATTACGGAATTCCTTGATTCGGTCGCCGCGATAGAATCTATGCAATAGCTTAAAAATCGTAATTTTACAGCTGTGAAGTTATATTTGAAGACGGCATTGTTGGAATATCCGTCTAACGTGTTGTGGGAGCTTTCTGAAATGGCAGAAACAGATATGGGCGGCACTTCTGGTGGCATTTACAGTTTAGGTCTTGCTGCTGCCTCACAGGCTTTGGCTAGGTCAGTTTATATACCACTATTAAACGTCTCATAGCTTCATAAGTTAACTTTTACATCCTAAGTCAAGTTAGTTAACAGGTTGCTAATTATGAAATATTGAACTGTTAAAATGTGGTATTTTATCTAAATATATTTTTATGTGTTAGGGGAAAATCAAATGATCGCCACATATGGTTATCTGCGTGGGAGAGCGCGATGGAGGCCATCTCCAAGTACGGTGGGGCAGAGCCTGGTGATAGAACTATGGTAAGACACTATAAAGATCTATGTTTATTTCCTGGGTTGTGTAGTTGAGCAATATTATTAAATAGCAAACAATTATCCATAGCGCTAAATAACCTGCATCATGGGCACACCCCATTTCCACACCATCACATACACAGCTAAATTAGGTACTACCTAGTTAAAATTATTTAATAATTTTTATACATTTTTCTTTTCGTAGATGTTTAAAACCTTTTTGTATATATTATGGCCATCTTTGGCTATAACTTTAGTATAATAGTTTTTTTTTATATATATATATATATATATTTTTAGCTGTAGGATTACGAAATAATTAAATTTTAAATAAGATAAGATTTGCTAATAAATTTAGTATCTTACTTAGTTTTCGAGCATGCATTTGCAAATAAATAAACAGTAACGGTAACGGTATATATATATATATATATATATATATATATATAATTTTTAGCTGTAGGATTACGAAATAATTAAATTTTAAATAAGATAAGATTTGCTAATAAATTTAGTATCTTACTTAGTTTTCGAGCATGCATTTGCAAATAAATAAACAGTAACGGTAACGATATATATATATATATATATATACCGTTACCGTACTCCATACTGTTTTGACAAATGTTTATTCTATTTCCCAGTTGTTCTGTCAATGCGTAGATCTGACACCCGTACAACAAACGGATATAATATATTATACTAAAATCTGACATAAAATATACTTAAATGTATTTTTGACTTTATCAACAGCTAGATACGTTACATAATGCAGCGGAAGCATTCAAGGAAAATATAGAGGCTGATATAAAAACAATTCTGTCGAAAATCGTTGAAGCAGCAGATTTGGGAGCGAAAAATACTGGCAACATGACCGCGAGGTAACATACATTTCTTTAATCTAACAGTTTAAACACGTTTCATTCTAAGAGATGTTGCATTGACTGAAAACGCAATCATTTTGACAGGCTCTGTTTCACTTATATCAACTAATTATATTTTAGTTTTTTTAATAAAATAAAACCGCGACGCGATCGCTATTACCAGATAGCTCGAAGGACCAAAATGTAGGGATCCTGGATCATCGGGTTGCTTTAAATAATAGAGGGCTTTATTTTTACTCTATATTAACCAATTATTATTATTATATATTAACGAATGAATGCAATGTGTTTAAGAGAGTGCCTACGTCTACGGCTATACTTTCGGGGCGTAACTCTCACGATTTACGAAATCGCCATGCTTATAAAACTAAGAAGTAAGAAAGCCTGAGTGAGCAAAATGTACAGTCTTGGCTCGTACAAAAAGTGGACCAATTTAAAATATTATTTCAAATGCTACAATTCCTACAGAGGCTGAAACGTTCAAAAATATTTAAAAAATAATTGTACAGCGCTGCGCAGTTGGCGCAAGCCGCTAGTTATCTATGAAGTATTATTAAGGGTATTCTCCTTATATAACATCAAAATCAAAAAATCTATAATTTAATTTCATTATAATTTATTATTTTCTCCTATTTGTAGTTGCTTATTTTTTTAATACAGGGCTGGTCGTGCCTCGTACGTAGCGAGTGCTTACATTCGCGATGAAGACGCCGGCGCACGCGCAGCCGCCATTTGGATCAAATCTATACTTACGACTATGGTTGACAATTTATGATTAGAAAATCAAAAATGTCTCCTATTATTTTAATAAAATATAGAAATATAAATAAAACAAATTCTATTAACAATATATTTTATTTATCACAATACTAACACTTTAAAATGATTTATATTACACTACATTATTTTAGATGTATCACTTATTTTAAATTTTGAGGATAAAAACTAAAACCATTTTATATATTTAGACACAGGTGATCAGTCTAGAATCAGTCTAAAAATATATAGACTCTAATGTTACGATACAAAAATAGTAGCGATTTGAGATAATATAAGTGATACATTAAAGTATATATTTCTAAAAATCCCATTCCTCGGTTTTTTCAATCTCCATATCGGAAAGTTTCTCTTCAAGCAATAAAGCTGATATATCACCTGAAGACAGACAAATTTTCTTCAGAAAAGAACTTATTAATAGAGAAACCAGTGGCATTACAACCTTTTAGGTCTGAGCCTCAGATTTTTGTATCTGTTTCGTGATCATTTGTTTTTTCTATTTCTTATTTGGTCTAAGGGATGTCGGATTCATCACGATGTTTTCCTTCACCGTACGAGTGTTAAATGCGCTCATATAAAGTCGTGCACCAAAGTCGTGTCGTGTACTTTCTATGTGCCAGAGCCGGAAAGCGTTCGAAATCAGGGATGCCACCAAGCCAACCCGCTGCCCACTAAAGTATTTCCGAACCGAAGTCAGGGTTGTTCAAGAAAAGACCGTACCTATTCTTAAAAGGCCGGCAACGCACTTGCGAGCCTTAATGTGAGTGTCCATGGGCGGCGGTATCACTTAACATCAAATGCCCCGTTTACATAATAGAAACCCTATCCGATAAACATGTATTATGCAAATAACAACACAATTTATAAACGTTAAGTAAGCATCAAATTGCGAAATCTTTAAAATTCTTTAAAGTGATAAGTCTAGTTCCAATGTTTTAACTCCCAAAACCCCACTGTGGGACATGAGACATATCTGTGTCTAAAGAAAAAACTGTTTAACCGGATTGAAGTTATGTATTATTATAAATTTAAAATTATGTTAAATAGTTGTAAATTTATAATAATACATAACTTCAATCCGGTTAAACAGTTTTTTCTTTAAATGTGTAAAGGTTATGTAAATCAAAGACAATACTATATCTGTGTCTCCTTATCTCAAGACAAGTCGACGAACATTCTTCTGTACCCACCAATCCGTAACAAATAAAATAAAAAAAATAAAGAAATAAAAGGTATACTTACAATGGTCTGGTTTAATTGGTTTAACTCGTCCAATAAGGCTTGGTAGGAAGTCTGTTCGTCGGATTTGTTTGAAGAAAGCGTGATTCAACAATTGACTCGCTGACGGACGCTTTTCCGGGTCCCTGAGACCGTAAATAAATATTAAAATCGCTAATTTAATTATTTGATATAAGTAATCGTTTAATGTGATGTAAAGTTTAATAAAAGCAAAATGAAACAGTTTTTTCAGAATGAATTGTTAAAAAAAAGCAGCGGAGGTAGAACTTTGGCCTAGCCTACACACGCGGTCGTCAGTTAGGTCTAACCGTGATTCGAACACACAATAATTAAGTAACATCAGTACAAAAACAATACAATTCACGAGAATTTAAATTCTGAAATAATTTGTTGTGGTAAAAAATCATTTTTTCTTCTATGCTGTCAGAAAGTTGATTTAGTTTAAGGTTTAGGTAAAAGAGTGCAAAAACATTAATGGTATTCGAACTATTATAAAATTTATAATCACAAAACATGTATTCTTTAATAATACAAATTTAAGACTTGAAGATTATACGAAAATAATACGCATTTCGGTTAGGCCATTTCTCCACTGCTCCGGTCCAGCAAACGTTAATTACCGATCCGATTTAGAAACTCACAACAGTACTTACGTACTTCTCCACTACTCCGGCATCCGGTTTTTAACAATCCGATAATTTGCTAGATCGGAACGCGGTGTTTTATCGGTCCGAAGTGATCGACAGCGATGCCTCTTTGTCTTCTAACGTATAACAATATAGCTAAAAGTTGTTGGCGATTAAAGGCAGGACTCATTGTGAATCGTAAAGCCGAGGAATTTTAATAAAGCACTGCGTTACGTCCGTTGCGACGGGGTGACTTATTTTTACTGATCGATTATTGTCGGATACTGGAGAAGCACAATACGGCCTTCCGATATTTTTCTCATGACTCATTCCGGTTTTCGACGCCGAACCGGAGCAGTGGAGAAAGGGCCTTAGGCCACGTTCACACGGCGATTATTTTCCCGTATACCGTATACGAGATTTTATCGAATAGAGTAGTGACAACAGAATATACAGTAGAACCTCGATAACGTAAACCTCGGTAACATAAAAACCTCTGTTACTTCAAAAAATACTATGTTCCCTTCCCATCAGAGCCCAAAACCTCTATAACTTAAAATACGCAACCTCTATAACGTAAATAAATAATCTCTGTATAGGCCCTCAGTAACTAAAAGAAATGTTTCCACAACCTCTATAACATAAAATTGTTTGTGAATGAGTCATTTTATAAGAGTGTCAAAACAAATGGTTTCGGTATTTATTGCTTGCACGTGTTTACTAATGTATTGTTAACGTAAACAATACATTACCTATTGTTTGCTTTATCTAAATTCTTCAAAGCTTTGCGGCGGTTAGCTTTGTGACAACGACTTACTTGCATCATAAGTTAATGTGTTAATGTATTCTCCTCTCTATTTGTCATTGAAAATCAAATCGATTATAAACAGTGAATTTTTTAAAACAAAAGAAAATCACAGTTTTTTTTAAGTAGACTAAACCTTTAGTTGTTGTTTTATTTTTATGTAATGTAAGTAATGTGAATAAATATGATTAAATATTTAATTTTCCATCCTTCTGATGCATTCAAGTAAAAATGGGAGGAAGGGTACATAGAAACATGTACATACCTCTATATTAGCCTTTACCTGACATAGAACCTTGATAACTTAAAACCTCGATAACATAAAATATTTTGTGTTTCCCTTGGACTTTATCTTATCGAGGTTCTACTGTATATGAAAACTTAAAAATTGTTTACACGGCGATCATACGGGAAAATCCCGTGTTCGAGAAATATATTTTACCGTATACCGTGCGAAGTTGTCACTGGAAACGCCGCGTCGGAAACGATTTTATCGAATACGACACGCAGTGGCGCTTATGTTCATGTTGTCTCGTTCACACGACTCGCCCATTCGAGAATCGTACGCACTCGCACGCGTGGCAGTTGCCCTTGTGCGTTGCATCAGTCGGTTGTCAATATGGAGGACAGAATTCCAATATTGATCGAGGATTTTATTTCCTTGATCGAGAAAAAAAATCGAATCGAATGGTTGCCATGTGAACGATTGCATCGTATACGGTAAAACCGTATACGTGAAAAACTCGAATCGAATGGTCGCCGTGTGAACGTGGCCTTACGGTGCCAAACAATAAAATCAAAGAATTTAATCACCCAGCATCCATTTTCACAGTAATTTCCGTATTTCTAGTCGTTAATTAGTTATTGACTTTAACAAATATAAAACTTACAATTTATTAATGTTATATGTTAGACATCATAATTCTAAATTACCTGTGTAAGGCACTGTCAGTGAGTCTATGAAAGGCATCTGACAGTTTACGTCGTGCGTACACCAGCCGTACTCGACACATTCCCTCCGCGCTGTCACCCACACCGCTGTCAGTGTTATACATACCTGTCAAAATAAAGGAGATTGTATTGGTATATTTATAAAGGAGACAAAATAAATCTTTAAAAAAATCTCACTTTTCATTTCCCCATCATCCAAAGGTTCCGGAAAAGATGAACAGTCAAGTAGTTGCGGTCGATTGCCCCTCACTTTTTCAGTGAACATAAGTGTAGTCGGCACTTCAGAGAATGGAACTGCTCCATTGGCTAACTCACAGCATAAGATTCCCAAGGAATATATATCAGACTGTTCATCATAGCCTTTGAGATTCTGAAACAATTCTGTCATAGTCAAATATGAAATTATGATTGCAATGGTATTTTCTATGATTAAATAACCATAAAGCATATATGTCGCTCATACTTTTTAGATGAATGCAAATCAATTATAAATTAAACACCTATAAAGGTAAGGATCAGCAAACTGCATTGTTTCCAATCAAAGGTGGGCACATTTTTAAATTATAAATTGTTTCCACAGTTTTTAATATTCATAATAAATATATAACAATAATTTTTATAGAAATAATGTAGGAATTTCACCTGTTCTAATAACTCAGGGCTTAGCCACATTAAGTTAGCATTATCATGATCAGGGGGTGGCAAACTATGCAGATGTTTCTGTCGTCGCCCACGCAACATCATACTTGCCGCACTGCGAAGGCCTGATAACCGTACATTACCCTGTGTGTCGAGTAACACATGACTTGCTCGCACACTCCTGGAAAAACAAGATTTAGGTATTTTTAAATTATTTTAAAACAGGTTATTTTTATTATGTATTTATATATATGTACATATATATATTGTGGTAGGCTATATGTAAGTGAGCCTAGTAAGTCCAAGTAAGTGATAGAGCATGTTATAATTTATCAACCCGTGTAATGCACGCATCAAACAATACTAGCTAGGTAACTAACAATAGTAATAAAATATCACCTTTCAATGTCATGCACTATTCAACAATAAGATAATTATAATTAGGAAACAATACATAATCATAGCTAAAATTAAAATGAATGCACTGTGCTTTAATATGCACACATAATCTGAAAGTTTTTATTAAAACTTAAATATCCAAAATGTGTTGAGTATCCTTTTATAGGAACAGCTAAATATGGAATAAGGTTTTACACTAGAATTAAAAGCATTTTTTAGATTAGATATTATGTAAACAACCGACCTGTGTACATAAAACTGTTTATGTAGGTATTGTAACGCCAATAACACATCCCTTAAAATAATGGCACAAGCAAGTTCTGGTAGGCCTTCTTGGAAGTATCTATCTAATATATCTCGACAGGAACCCAGCTCCATTAGAGGAGATACCACATATAACTCCTGACCATGAACAAAGGATGTCAAGTATGGAAGAATATTCTGATGGTGCAGCTCTTTTCTAGTTAGAATGTCTTGCTGAAAAAAAAATTTTTGCAACTAATCTAAAATTTACTACGAATAATAATTTTAGTTCTCATTAAATGAAGAATCTCTCGGGTTTTTTTACTAAAAGAGAAGTGAAATAAATATACCTGTATCAAATTGGCTTTTTCCCTTGACTTGTCAACAAAATACCTCTTAATAGCGACATTTTGATTATCTGGCTTGTGAACTGCTGAATACACAACGGCGATACCTCCACAACACTCCGATACTATGGAAGTCAATTGATAATCGTTTATGTCAGGGTTAAACATCGCGCCTGATATGGATGCACTAGTTGAAAATTTACGCATTTACAATTGTTAGAACATAGCTGGCAATTGTGATGTTTACAAGAAGATTTTTTATAATTTCAAGTCTATAAATAAACAAAATATTAAGGAAAACAACAGCTGTTTTAAATCAAAATAATTGTCAGTTTCAGGCTCTGTTAAATTGACGATAATGACAGTTCTCTGTAAATTGTAATTATGTCAAACTCACACTCAATGACTATTGACAATTCCGTAGCTACGGCTGATATTAATTATTGAAAAGGAACTCACAGATTACAAAGCACTACTATTTACAATTTCTGTTCATTAATATAAATTATTGGCAAGATATATAGCCTTGTAGTTCTTGGAATATGTAAGAAAAACTAACAAATTTAACTCTGTATTGGAAGTAGGTGTTAATATTACCGACGGAAAAGACAAAAGAAGAAGAATTTTAAAAGTTCAATCTTTAATACAATAGAATCATTGTGCGTTTTCCAATTACAGCACTAGAGCGCATTTTGCGGCATAAGCTCAACGTTGTGTTCCAACTACAGAACGCTGACATTGGACTCTCAAACGGCTCTCGCAAACACCAACCAGTGACAGAAAATTGACCAGTATTTTTCTTTATTGGCATTTTCGAATTTTCGTGTAAATATTTTTTGTTGAAAAATTTGTAAGGCTTTCGTTTCGTCGTAGATTTTGAAAATAATTAAAGTTATTTCAAACTGTAAAAAAAATAAATATTGTAGGATGAAGGTATAAATAGTTACTTTTTTTATATTCCAATTTAAAATATGAATACAATTTTATTTTAATTCGCTGTAACAAATTTACTTTACAGGATTATACTTTAGAAAAATTAATGGTTTTGAAAAGTATATAATTTTTTAGAAATCATTAAAAATTTACTCAAAACGTAAATGATGTAAACTTCTTACAGAAACTTAATTTTTACTGTTAATTTAGCTTGTTAAAACCTTATATTCTTTAAAGGTTTTCTTTACAGTAAAAAATTTTTAATGAAATAATTTGATTATTTAATTAAGCGTAAAAGTTTTCAACCAACTATTATTGTTTACCACATTATTTTACATTGGGTTGCTAACTCTATTCAGACCATTTTTTTGTCAACACTGACTTAGCGATCTTGTGCATTTGAAAACTAATTCACGTTCCAATTAAGCTTCAGCATTATGCGGCATTGTGCGGCACTGAGTCGCAAAATGCTCTGTAATTGGAAAACGCACATTATACCTAACAGAGTATTAATACACTACTCACTACTGTATCGGTTTAACTGTCGTTGAATTTACCAACATAAATTCATCTCTTATTACAATAATAATTATCAATTCAATTTATAGTGTTATTTTAACTATGTATACAAAACTACATATAACTATATATGTACATCTACTTTTCAAAATATGTAAAAGAATTCACGAAGCTGACATAAGTAATGTTTGATATATTTTTGTGGTACTCGAGTTAAGTTCGGCGGCGGTTGTTGTAGGGATATTCAAAAATTTTAAATGAAACTGTTTGAAGCTTGGTGTCAACTGGCTTTAATTGTGTAAAACTTGAGCTTATAACTAACATAAAATTAGGGGTAGTAGGGTTGCGACGCTAAACTAACTTAACTTATTGATGGGTTCATAGATCTAAGTGACACTAATGTTACGTCTATAAAGAATATAAGTGTAGTCGACCTAATGGACATTATCGGAAACGAGAATGTAATACATAATTACAATTTATGAGTGTGGGAATTATACATTTGGTTTGCGCTTCTAATTATTAACTAAAATATATATGCAACGTAACTAACGTTAGGTTACATAACTCTCGTTAAAATATATACATATTATTATGTCAATGTCCAACCTGTCAAAGTGTAGAGCGATTGAAACCAATCAATGATCACTTAATTACTGAAAAACATCAGATAGTTTTGTTTGCTGATGACACGTCCTTGATTTTTAAAATCAAACGACAAATAACAAATTTTGACGATGTGAACAATGCTCTGTTTCGTGTCCATTGGTTTAGTATGAATAACCTTCTACTTAATGCAAAAAGACAAAATGCATTAAATTTTGTGCAAAAAATGCAAGGGTTATGGATACTAGACCAATTATAAACGGTGAGGAATTGAATTGATATACAATGTATTTCTCGGAATCACCATGGATTCAAACTTAGTGGTCCCCTCATATTAACGGATTGCGAAGAGACTTAGTTCTGCAGCCTACGCGGTCAAAAAATTCGCTCACTAACTGATTCATACAGTAGACTTGTTTATTTTAGTTACTTTCATAGCTTAATGACTTATGCTTATATTTGGGGTATGCTGCTGATGTCGAAACTATTTTCATCCTGAGAAGAGGGCTATTCGCAATTATATTTAATGTAGGGAATCTCTTAGAGATCAGGAAATTAATTACTTACCTTTCCCTCGCAATATATTTATGAAAAATTATGTATGTATACAAATAGTGATAAGTTTACTAGAATAGAACATACGCACAATGTTAATACACGGAACAAACGCAGGCTGCAATTTCCCCGTACTAGACTATCTAAGTTGTAATTTTTTTTGGGGAAAGGGATACTCTTCTTTAATAAATCCCAGAGGCTTTTATACTGCCTTTCAATAAATTAAGAAATGTATTAAAGAAAAGCTGTGTAAAAAGGCTTACTATAAAGTCAACGATTATTGTTGAAAAAGGGCCTGGGACTAGTTAGACAGGCTACTTCTAATCAATTTGCGATATTTGTTTTAAATAAGTGTTGTTTATTTGTTTTAAAAGAGTACCGAGAGTTTTTTACGCCGACTTTTTCTCTCGCCTACACCCTCTGTTTTTTGCCGATGAGTAGGAGCCTTCAAATTTAATAGTGGAATAAGTGATACATGTATCTTATGTTCCATAATAAACATATTTTATTTTATTTTTTTTATTTTATTTTACTTTTATTAAAAGACTTCAAAGATTTTGACCATATATAGTAGTAGACCATAAAAGTATTAAATAAATGAAACCAGACGATTTTAATTTTGCAATCGTTTAATATGAGATTTAGTGTAGGTACACTAAATCTTGTATAAGTTACAATTATTTTATTAATCGAACGAGGAGTTTAACATAAAATATGAATTTTAAGCATGTTTTTCTTGGTATTGTAAAATGTAAGTCGAAAGTTTAGTCACTTTATTAACCTGTACAATCAAGTGCATGACTCTATATTCTTATAAAACTTAGCAATCGAATTTAAAAAACGAACGAACATAGCCAAAAAAAATTATTTTCATTAACTTCGCAAAGAACGCATTTTTTGGTATTGTAAACTTTTCAATCTCGATAAAAAGCTGTAATTCCTATATATATACGACGGCGACCGCATCTCTCATACGCATTATACGATGTACTCACGTCTATATAAAACCGGGGACAGCGCCAAGTCTAAAATTAAGGTCGGCGAGAGCGTCCGAACACCGCCGAATCCGCCCGCCCGCCTCAGTCCACCATCAGCTGCCGTCGAAATTTCCCAAAACCAATCGAACGCGTGCCTGAAAACTCCACTTGGTTATCGCGAAAAATTCAAAAGTAAACGTGCTCGCGAGTCGCCATTGTGAATTTTTTTGTATCGTGGCAGTGTGTGTGATTTGTGGATTTTCGAACGTCTTTTAAGCGGTATGTAATATTATTTATGCTAAGGGTTGGATTTTACCATCTTAGATTTTAATGATAAACACGTGTTCGTAGTATAGGGTTACATAGCTTTTTTCCTTGCTGATAAATCTTAGACATTGTTAGGTATAACAATTTAACTGTGTATAAAATGTATTATAAAAGTAAATTGTCAAAATATACATCCTACAACATACATACAAATTGAAAAAAAAAAACGGGAATTTTTATTTTCAAATAGTATAACATTTTAATTTACATTGTTTCTTGTAATGAAATATATATAGTATATACCTAATATGTCATATTAATATAAGAAAACCTACCAATATATTGCACCAATAGATATATATGTGGATAGGTAATATTTCAAAAGTCCAATGTAACGGACTTTAGCCTTAATTAAATTTTAGATACAATTTTTATTCTAGATAAGAATATTTGTAAAAAATAGGTAGGTTCACATTTCCAAGCGTATATAAAGCTTGATTGTTATTGATTTTCAAGATACTCGGATATTCATGTTATGCGCTGTTAAAAATACGACATATTATTAATAACGGTTTTCACTGTGTTTAGGATGCACTTCTTCCAGTAATTTCTAGAAAATATATTTCACCTTGAGTCCGCATTGCGTCAGCCTCAGCCGACTTTTAGTCTAGACATCGGAAACCGGAAGCTGTTTTCTATCGATTTTCAAATTCTTGTTGCTCCTTAACTTTTATCTCTTTATAAGGGAGCTTTTTACTATACTCTCAGATTTGAAAACATATTTCGCTAGCAGTTAAGTCGACTTATTACTGAACTCCTTACATTATTTGTTAAACTATAGATACGCATAACTATGACTGCCATTATCTACGTATAATATCGATAAAAATAAAAATTTATTTTCAGCATTCATATAAACTTTCTACTTTGGAATTATAATCGTATTAATAATTCTGACGTCGGTTTAATTTAATTATTTCTGTACATAAAGACACCATTTGCTTTTGTTTTGAACTATGGGTTTAATGCTCCCTAAGCAGTTGTTTTAATGGTTAAAAATTTCTCTGGTAAAAAGGTCTCTGTTTTTATTGTCAGAGTGGAAACTTACGTCGAACTATCACTCTTGTATGTCAAAATCCAATACGTTTTTTTCATACTTAGGGCTACGTCTCGGCTATGAATCTCTCTAATTGTACTTTCAGAGATTTAGGAATAACAAAGTTTGACGGAGTTTTCTCAGAGCGGAAATAAAAATGAACAGTTGCTGTTTATTCTACGAAATAAGTAGAGTTTTTTGGGTCAAAGATTCGA